CACTTAACCCCACTTTGCCCAAAGCCCCCACTGAAAGATCATGGCTATGCTCACACTCAGAGAGCAGCCGTCCTCCTGTGGACTCACCACCTGCAGAGGGTCAGTGAGGGGCTGGTGCTATGAGACTTGGGTGGCATCTCTGATTGCCACCCCCCTGACCCAGAAATGGATTAAAGGGTAGAAAATGGATGGATGGATGGATATGTTTTGCGCATAAATCTTTCACAATTGTCTGTGTTTTTGGAGACATACAGGCACAATTATGAATCAAATCCAGATTTTGTTATTGTGAAGGGACACACTTCTGGTGTTGTTGCTGAAGTTTTCCAGTGTCCCAGCCGTAAAAGTTTCTCAATAGCCACAGTGACTCACTACTATTACCACTTAACTTATCACAACATGTTGCGTCCTTGAGATTTTAACAACTTTACTCTTGCTCTATCCACACATGGTTGCTCTTGCACTTTTCGCTTTCTTTTCCTGGTTCTGTTTTGAAAACAATGGGTCAGTCTATTAAGCTCATGTTTGCATAATAATTGTTGTGGGGTTCTAGGTTTAATATACTGAGTCGTGAGATTTTCTAGTCTTGTTAAACTCAGCCAAACTAATATCTATACCTAGAGAAATTACCGACAAACGATCTTTGTTGTATAGCACTGTACATAACTACTATTTTGATAATTGATTAGTTGGTTGATTATTCTTGTGATTAATCAATTAGTTTGAATCCCAAAAGGTCAGTGAATATGGGATTAAGCATTTTCATTAAGCATCCATGCCCAAGTAAAAGCACATTTATTATTATTTTTATTTTTTATTTTTTATGACTTGATTGCACTCTATCAGGCCATGCACACCCTGTATCTGAAAGCTTTGGTTGTCTGAGATATGTGAGGCGGTTACATAAACGCTCCTTACAACATAGATAGATGGTGCCAGATATCCACTCATTTAACTATATAGCTTGTTTACTTGCGCTCTATGTTTTAGTAAGTTCCATTTCTCACTGGTAAAGTTGTATAAAGTTGTTTTGAAAATGTAACGGCTCCATCATTTGTAGTGTGAACGAGCAAACGGAATGCTGGACCTCCACGGTGCACCCATTATTGAAGGAATGCTAAAAGGAAAGGTGTGTCCCATCTCCTCTTCCCTCATCAACCATAACGGGAAGTACCAGAGTGAGGGAGTCAAGAGGCAAATGTGCAACTAATGAAGGGTCCAGTGTGAACAAAAGACTCATTATGACATTTTTCAACTTGTTAAAGCTGACTAGGTGCTTGAAGTTAACCGTTCGTGGTCAACAAGAGAGAGATCTGATCCTGTTTAACAAGTGACACTACAGTACAGACAATATGGTAGGGCATTAACTACAATGCCAGTGTTGAACCACTTTCTCTCCCTGCCCATTTGTATGAATATCCAATCTGTGTTAGGACAGGTGGCAGGATGTACTGTGAAGTGAATGTTGGATTTGACTGAAGATGAGTGGGATAAATCTGTACTTTAAGATAAGATTGACTTTATTGATCTCACACAGGAGAAATGTACATGTCACATTTGACAGATAGAATCACTCAGATTTGTGCAAAAGACAGAAGTGTGCAAACATGTTAGAGGCAAAAGAATATAGTCTGTTCAGGATATATTATGTACAATAAAAAGTTGGAATCTTTCACATTTCCAAGAGTTTGATTAATTAACTCTAGGACTCTAACAATTATGAAACTACTAGAACCCCCAGAGTAAAAATTCCATCTCCAGACTTATTGAAAGTAATGTACAAGGTTTTTTTTTAATATTAAAACCTTTACTCACTTTTCCCAAGTGCTAAAGCAGTTTATTGAAAGGCTAATGACTAAATGCTAACTGCTGACGGTAACCATTGCGTTGCCCTAGTAACCATTTTCTCTTCACATGTATTTATTCACGTTTCAAAAATACTATCATTTCTTAAAGATAATTACAGAAACAGAGATACAGTTATGAATATCAAAAAGATACATCAAGTAATTACTTACTGAAAGCCGTTAATTTGACTGGCCTGGGAGTTCATTTATTAATTGTCTGAAGAAAAAAAAAAGTAAAATGCAGAAGTGAGTGTACCTTTTTAAGCCAACAATAGCCAGTCAAATACATTGTTTGTACGCCTTCAGACTCATTTTTTTTGTGGTTTTTATGTTTAGTCTGGTCCTCCTGGCAAAACGCACTCCAATAAAAAAAAAACCTCAGCTGTTTTGTCTTCACTGTTGTCATGTTGGGTAGATTCTGGTTCTTCATGAACGAGAAGGCCCTGAACAAAGACATGGTGCGCTTTTTAAAGGGCTGAATAATGCCACACACACTTTCACTGACCAGACAACTTTGCTCTGGTTGCTCCTTTCAGTTATCACTTTTAACTTTCAATATTAACTGAATTGTGATGTTCTTTCTCTTGATTCAACATTTTCAATACATTTGTTTTTTATCTAATCCTATACTCTGAGGAATTTGAATCTTATTCAATGATAACTATTGGATATCCCTGGGTTTATGTCTCTAACAACTTAAAAACAAAACTTTCTCCAGAGGTTATGGCAGTAAAAGCTCTTTATAGAAATGTAAAGCTTTAGTTACACATTATTTGTTTTTTAAAGTGTTGTTATTTATGACAAAACAAATAATTGGATCTATTATACCAGTTATTATCCCAGATCGCTCCGCCCGAGGTGGTGTTTTTATTGTTGCTCATAAGTTGCACCAAAAATGGAGTGTTCATAGTAGGATAAGGGAGTCATACCAAAGCTTTGTGCGGTTGCTCAATGTTTCTTTATCATGGGAGTGAGACTAAGACTGCATTACAACATTTCCCACAGAAAAGGGGAACTTCTTGTTTCCTGGACCATTAAAAATTCAATCCCACTGAATTTGAAAATCTTTACAAAGGTCTATCTCTGTTGTTGTATTCCCCTGGTTCAGTCCCTGGTGTTGATCTTTCGTGTCAGGACACACAAGTTCTCAAACAGGAACATGAGCTCATTGTGTTGTCACTCAGGACCAGTTCAAATGCAGCCATCATCACACTGGCATACTGTAAACACTAGCCTTTGAAATCCCAAACCTGTTGACCTGTTTAAGTTTAATTGTTTACCAAACGTATGGTTTTACTTTCCTTTTGTAAAGATAGCTGTAATCTCGGCGTGCGGGAATGTGATGCAATCTGCTAATGAATATCTCTTAATCTTGTAGACTTCCTTCCAACTATTATGTGACTTAATTACTGGTCCAAACCCGCCCATCCCCAATCACTCACTAATAAAAATAGAAATACAAAAAGATTTTGGATTTGGGTGCCACATTGCAAAAAGGCAACACAAAGATGAGCATCATAGAAGTTCTATTAATTTAATTTGTGTTGCCTGTGAATTTAAAATGTTTCTCCTTCAAATTATTTGGTGTTTTGGTGAAAAGTGGCGTGTTTTTTGTGGAAAGTAAAAACAAATCTTTAGGTTACTACAATAATATACAGCTACTGCCCTAACATTTTTACCTTAAATCCTATTACTGTACTTAAATCTTCCTAATAGGATTTGGCCATTGTGCCAGTTGTTGTTGTTGTGGTTGAAAGGTGGACTTTAATAAAAAAGCAGAATCAAAATCTTTATTATTTCTTTAAAAATATGGAAGTGCTTTCTATAGGTTATGAAAGGAGTGTTGTGTTTTTACTATATTGAATATTATTCTCCACTTTAAGACTAATAAAGGTTTATCTTATCCGATCTTATTGTGGCATTGAGTGGTTTTGTTAAAATAAAATCCAGTCAAAGCCAGCAAAGACTCCACGTACATTTATGACGAATGGTTCAATTATCAACATTTATACATTTCTAAGTTGGCGTTGTTTTAAACGTACCACAGATCTCCCTTTTTTTTTTTTTTAGAGTAACATATTCATGAACCGACTGGACAAACACACTACCTGGGGACAGGAGGGGATAAGGCCCAACATATGGACCTTAACATGGAGGAAGTGTGCTCGGGTCAGAGGGGAAGAAGGGGGTGGACTTTTATGGAATGCACATTATTGCCATCACCTGGGAGGGAATAGGTACTACTCCTATACTCCACATGACTGGTCATTATTTAAAGGCGATCATGATGAAAGACTACTCTTAAGAGAACTACATGTGAACAAAAATAATGTTTGTTGTCTGGAATGTCAATAATCATGAAATCATCAGTCTTTTTGCCTCACAATAGTTGTCACTCTAAATGTTGAGTTATTTACTTAAAGAAGTCTGTTTATCACCAGAGGCTGCACTGGCACTTGTCTTCATTGTAGCTGCACTTGGTCTCCATATAAGGCTGCGCTGCCTCAAAGTGTTCCTGGATTGTGCTGTGTGTATGTGGGGGTCTTGCTGGATACAGTGGGACTATGCCCATGTAAGCCCACAGTAGAGACAAGAGCCGAGCGCACACGTCTTTTACCACACACTGTATCCACCAGATGCGGAGATGTGATTAATAAAAATCCAAACCTCATCATTTAGCTGTATCTGGAGGTTGCCTGCTTGTGAACCACCTCTTTACAGCTGATTATGTAGAAGATTGCCTCTGGATTCACTGGTCACTTACTGTATTGCTCACTGTTCATTGACTTGCTCACTTAGTTATAGTACACAATGATGATGATCCATGATCCAACTATGCGTTTTCATGTCCTCGTCCTTAATATTCCTACAGACACTTACACTTCATGAGTTATTGTTGATTTCCATTTGTGATTCTTCTGCAAAAATCTGAGTCAGAGTAGTTTACAATGTACAGCATGAGCATTCCTCAAAGAAATTCCTACTCTCACACTGTTGGAATAGACTCAAGTATTCCTCACTATGATCTTGTGAATATCTGCTATTCTTAATTTGGCTCGGGGAACTCTTGGTGCACGTGGCCTTTCAGACAGAGGCTGTGCTGTCTTTTGTATCACTTGTCTAAATACATTTTATATTGTTTTCTTCTATCAGGATGTGGAGAAGGACAGAGAGCTGCGGACAGAGATTAGTCGAGAGGAAATTGGACAGAGGATCGAACTGTACAACTCTCTGACCAAAGATCATCTGAAAATGACACTAGTGAGTAACACAACCTCAAAATAGTACTTTTTTTTAAGATCTATTTTTTTATTTAAGACGAGCTGCAGTTGTTACTGGAAATTAAGGAAAGTAAACCAGAGAAGTGTTTCCACTGTGGTTTCTGTTCCTCCCATTTGCGTTCCACAGGACCCGGGTCTTGTTATTTCTGCTGTTCTCAAGCAGAGCGTAGGATCTATGAAACCTCAGTCCCCCAAGAAGAAGGGCGGTATAATGATAAATTAAAAGTATTGAGAAAGGAATTGGTCTCTATACCAATACCTGGTCCATCAGAATTTGTCAATCCTCAATATTAACTGATACCTACAATTACTTGTAGGAAGCTGAAATTTATTCAGCTTTATCCAATAAACTGCGGAATGATATCTTTTTCTATTTCACCTTTATTTTACCAGGAAAGTCCCATTGAGATAAAGAACCTCTTTTTCAAGGTAGTCCTGGACAAAAGTTACATACATTACAGATTATAAAACAGTTACATACCATTTCATAAAATGACAGATTATAAAAAAAGAATGACTTTCAAAACATTCCAAAACACATACACATGATTTGTAAGTGTTTTGTAAAAGGGAACTCTCATGAAGTTGCATTAGCTTAGAAATGGTCTTATCTAAAACAATATTATAATCTTCTTATGTTTGCTTATTTTTTACGGTTAATTCATTATTCGGTTGAAACAAGATAACGCACATTTCACTCAAGGCACAATGTATATTTTCTTTTACACGAGCAGCAGTTTGCACAGAAGTTCTATATTTTCCTGAAAAGTGATTCATTCTTCAAGAAAAAACATATAGGGTTGAAACATTCAAACTCTTTAAATCGTTCCTCGGGCCACAGTGATTAAAAAATACCCTAAATAATAATACGCTTTTAGACTCTAAATTAGGGTTTTTTCTTCTACTTTTAATTATCTGTGGCAGGTCATTCTGATCCGAGGGTAGCACAAGCTAACCAGACCCAAGGATAACATACATTTAACTTTGAAGCAGGACCAGTTCAAAGTTTTTCACGTCACTGCAGGTCTAATCTGTAGATGGTTTATGACCCTCTCAGAGCCCCGTACTTACTGGTCCTCCTGACTGACCATCTGTTCTGCAATGGGCTTATTGGGAGATCACTTACGGCACTGTTGCTCATGTTCTGTGGAGGGAAATAGATCAGTTTTCTATACAAAAAAAATACAATACTCTAAATGATCTTTTATCTACATATCAATTCAACTGGAAAAAAATAAGATGAAGACCTGTGCTGTAATCTTTCAAACAAAAGGATCAGAGGTATAATTATGCAATTTTTGGGTTTCATTAAACTGGCCAGTAGGCAGCGAATGAGAAGAGGTGGGACAACTCAGTTTTGCTCCCATTGAAAACCATGTAAATCGTGTCTGTGCGGTGTACGGTGGTTGTAACAGTCTTAATCGGGCACACTCAATTCTAAGGGAGTACTAAAAAAAAATTCTGTTTTCTTGTGTAGTACTAGTACCGCTGGTTGTTGGTAACATCATCTTTTCTTTTAAACGGTGTGTTGTTGACGTTCCTCCTGCCTGCTCTGTCCCAGGGCCGCTCCGATGTGTACACAGGTTTTATTAAAGTCCAGATGGAGCTGCGAAGGCCTGTGACAGTACGAGGGGGACACAGGGGTCCAGAGGGAGAAGCGTTTTATCTTCCCCGCGGAGCTTCTAAGACTCTGCACGTCAGCTCCAGTAACACTGTCAAAGAGGTGAGCGCTCACACAACCCCACACGACAGAAATAATCTTTGTCCATGCTTTGTAAATTGCCAGTAAAATTCTGCCCTGAGCTCTACCGGGTTTTTAGATTCATTTTCTTTGTCATCAAACTGTTTAGTCGTCAAACCTGGCAACCCAGATGGAGGAAAGTTAACGTTGCTGTTTCTTTTAAAGTTTTGCATCAAATATAAATCACTCTTATATTTTTTAAAGTCATTCTAAAGTTAGTAAGTTACATATATTTTTGTGTTCTTCAAAGTTTGAGTTCAATTTAATCCTTAAGGGACAATGCAGAATACAGATTAGTCTTATCCAAAGAGTACATTTGTCATGTGCAAGGTTTTGTCCTTGGACAGTTTAAATTTTATAATTACAATAACATCAACAATATTGCACTGTTGAACTTCACATCAGTTCGACACAAACTAAATCTGTCTACAACCACCCAGAGAAAGGCACTTTGGTGCCCTTTTCACTGGATGTTTCACACATTCAGAAGAAAAAGTGTGGAAGTGATTCTTCAATTTATTTTCGCATAGCCTTGAATCACAACAGTAGTCGTCTTGAAGGACTTTACAAAGTTGTCGTTTTGTCCAAAGCAGAACAGAAAATCAATCACATAAAATGCAATGTTAAGACACACATAGAGCCATTGGTCCATAATGTGCGAATGGCCAATGTTAATAAATGTTAATAATTTCAGGACATTTATTTATGTTAACATATTTCCTGAAATGTCCTTAAATGTCCTGGATCATCACCACTGTCCTTAGACCCTCCTGTGTTGGTTAGGATCAACAACAAAAAATAGTGTGAAAAAGTCATTTATTTAGTGATTAGGAATTATGTACTGTATTCCATGCTCCATAAACTTTTTGTTTTTCCCCGTAGGTCATCGTGGCTCTGCTAAACAAGTTCACAGTGGCAGACAACCCAGCCAAATACGCACTGTACAAGCGCTACCGCAGAGAGGAGCAAGGTAAACGCAGCACTGTCTGTTAGTTACACGCTGTGAACAGGAGAGAGACGGGCTCATTTCACTCATACCAGGATCCGGGTCAAACGCTGTGATGCTAACCTGCCAGTGGTGACCCGCGTGCACAGTGTATTTTTGGACGTTTATCCTGCTAATTACTGGCTGTCTCAGGGCTCTCCCTGCCACCAGCCATTCATAAGCAACACACACCCTCATACTGCACGTATAAATAAACTTGCACTGGCGCTTTGTAAACAGCTGCTGCAGACTTGTAGAGTATCAAATGCTATTTGACTCTACTTAGCATCTCCAAGTTTGGAATAGTTTCATAGTCCTGACAGTCTTTACAAATCCAAAACCTATTCAAATATTTATGTAACTTTCTAACGTCTTAGTTTGTCAAGTTAAGTATACAATTTACAGATTTGCATGTACTTTTTTGCATTATTGAAAGACTACGGCATAACTCGCTGAAAAAAATACAGTCTAGACAACAGATGTTACTAGTTTTATACGAAACAGACAGACAGTAGTCTCTTGGCTTTATAACTGGGTGTTGAAATGTATAGCTCTGGATGAACCCTCTATGACCCTCAGTCTGTTTGATTGAGTGCTCTGTCTGATATTGATGAAATTGAATGTCCAGATATTAGTTTTTATATTTGGTTGGAGCATCAGATTACTACAAGACAACATGCCGAAAAGGATATGTTCTCTCTATTTGATTAGTTTTGCAGAAAGTATCAAGTGACTGCATACTTGTGTCAGATGTTGAGCCCTGCCCATATGGTGTGGAATATTTCATATAAATACTTCAAACAATGTCGTGACCACTGGACTCTTGTAAATGTGTGTTTTGCAGTGTATGTATGTAAGCTGGGTGACACGGAGAAGCCCCTGTTTCTGCGTTTGGTAGCAGGACCAGACCTCGACACTCTTGGCTTTGTACTCAAGGAGCAGCAAACGGGAGAAGTCATGGTAACGCTTCAAACTTTGTGTTTCAATGCAATTATGATTACATGCTTACTCAGTACTGCAGCATCCACTGCACACTGTATTAATCCTAATAGTTGCTTTTCACAATGCTGGCTATAATAAAGAAAATGATGCCACAATACAATGATTGATTTCTAGCAATACACTTTGGTGAACAATATTAAGTCTTTGTCTTTGTCTTATACTCTTGCCATCAAATAAAGTTTGAGATGCTAGTGACTACTTGGCTAATTTTGCAACCAACCTCTGTGTCATAACCAATCAGAGAGGAGGGGGGCGGGTTTTTCCTACTGGCAGCACTGAGCAGCAAGGCCCAATAAACAATATTAGCAGTTGTGGGAGACAATCAGGCAACTCTGCTCTCTGCCTCCAAAATTTGACCATGTGCCCATTTCTTAAGTGTCTATTTGGCAGCAAGCTCCCTAAACTCCTTTTACAGTTTATGCATGTTCTTTCATTACAGTGGGATGCCTTTTCTATTCCTGAACTTCGCAACTTTCTTCGGATTCTGGATAAAGAGGAGGATGAACAGAGGGAAGCTGTGAAGCGACGCTACAACATTTACAGACAGAGACTAGAGGAGGCGCTGCTGCACGTCCGGACGCTTTAATAGACTCTCAAACACAGGACAATTCAAAAGAAGCTTCACAAGCAAATGCAACATGTCACATTGACATTGTTTCTTTTTTACTTTTTCAAGAAATGAATCAAAGTGAAGGACAAACGAAGACTTGAACTGTCTCCAAACCATGTGCCATATACATCCTGTCGGTTCAGTTCTATTACCATCTTATTTTTCTGACGCACGTGACACTCAAAGCCGTTTCTTGGGTCTTTTTTTTTTTTCAAGTCTGTACATATTATTTTCTTTATTTATATGGGTGGCATTTTATGTTTTTGAGTTTTATTTTTCATGACAAGTCTTATTTACTAACAATGTGGTGCATGACACAGAGGGAATAGTTTGATAATCAATAATCATACTTTAATCAATTATGAGCCTGTTCATGAGCTGTAACTTTACTCCTAACATCTTTAGTGTCAGCAAAGTGTCCCCAAATGTATTTAGGAAGTGCCTTTTTATGTTTGCCAAGATAATATAGTTTGTGCTGAGCAGTGACTACCGGGAGAAAGGATCTAGAAACTACAGAATTATTGAAGAAAGTCAAGCTGAAAGTGCTAAAATGGAAAGTGTAATGTTCTTTGTGAAGATGGTTTTATGGTGCAGTTTGAAGCATATTTGGCTAAACTGCTGCGAGGAGCTGGAAGTGAAGATTGAACTGGTTTTTGGAAGAAGTTAATGAGGTTGTAGAAGGGATTAAGAAAGTTTTATTAAAGCTGATTTGAGAATGGTCTGAGTAGTATAAACAGGAGGTAATGGTGTGAGCTTTGAGGGCAATGCAGAGATTCTCCTCAAGCTACAACCACCATGTTCTGACTTGGTCCATTCGGTTACGTTTTGGATCAAAGTGCATAACTATAAAGGGGATGCTGACACACAAGCAAGTGCACGTATGGGGAACTACAAACGTTTGATTTGGAATTTCTCTCTATTGTATTCTGTGTGGTAAAAATCATCCGTTTGTGTGAGTGTTGGTACTGACACTGGGCAGCGCCTTCTGCTGGATAATGCCACCATCTAGTGGAGAAGAGGGGTACTATTAATTATATCTGTGTCAAAACCACATTGGATTTTTTGTTTAATCTTTATATTGAGTTATTTCAATTTTAATGTTGTACTCTATAACCAAAGATATTTTGTGATGTTGCCTGGAGCAAAAATATTTGAGTCCCAATGGAGGGATGTATAGTTTATTTAAATGGGTTACTTTAACCTTTTATTATACTACACTGGGTTCTTATCTGACACTATACTGAGGTAGCATGGAGACATTTATTTTGTATCTCAAAGCCATGTTAGGTTTTAAAGAAACCTGAAATGCATATAATAGTAAAGTTTTATCCAAAGAATATTTTGGGCACTTTAACTTTGAATTCAGGGAAGACGGGTTTAACTTTTATTTTCATTTACTCTAGCTGTTTTAATGTTTTTTATTTTGAAGACGAGACATTGTAGTCTTCATTAAAACAAACTTTATTGACCTCCACTCTTTGTAATCGGTGAGCTAATTCTCATCTGTTTAAGATTTATCGTTTCCGATCCCATGTTTATTTTGTGTTTTTTTGTTTGTAATTTTGTAGACTGTGAAATCCTCTGCATCAGTTTGTTCCTGTTAATTCTAATGCTTTACTGAATAACATAACAATAAGTCATCTGAACATTAGAGAGAGAATGTGTATCTGTGACATTTACTTAAAGCATATTGTAGGATGACCAAACTGCTTCTGCATTATGATCATTCTTAGACTGATATCTCTTTCTTGTTCATCTGCGAGTCATCGTATGATGCATGGGTGACTTTATACTTTATTGTATGTGCATGTTTATCTGAGCATAGACGCTGATTTAACAAAACACATGTGTTGCCTTGAATATGCCATCATCGTTCATTGTTCATATATCATCAAATCCAATGAGGCCTTTTAATGAATGAAATGTCACCAATAAAGGTCATATCATTCTAGTGTATGTATTCTTGTCTTTGGTTTCGTCAATAACATTTTACGATCTTTTACAAAGCCACCTGCTGGTTCCACGGAGCTATTGTCAATGTGTCTGAAAAATTATTTTGGTCTTTTAAAGGAGCAGTACCTTTACCTTTACTATACCAGTAAGATTAGCTCGGCAGTGAGATCACGGCCTCTCTGATTGGTGAAACGGTGAAGGGCGGGACATCAAAATGAAAACAGCAGTTCAGCGAGATATATATTGTTATCAGTTACAGAAGTATTCGAAAAGAGCACGGTTTGTTAATGCCTTTTGACAGATTAGGGCCATTTAATGATGACTTGACATGAAAATCTTACATATTGCGACTTTAACATTGAAAATGTTTTCCTCTGATGCGACCAAACCTATATCCATGGTCCAAACTGTGGGAAAAGTGTTGTCGCTGAGTGATGAGTGCTGTTTCCAGGGTATTGCTCTAGAAAAGATGGGAAGTAAAGGGAAAACCGATCCAGATTGGTCTAACAGCTCTATGATGGATTTACACTTTTTGGGGTTCAATTTACAGCAGCAATTCAGTTTTTATGTTCTACTCCTCTTATTTTGGTCTCCCTCTTCTGCAGAGCCTACAGCAGCGTGAACAGTGAATACTTCAGAATAATTCTTTGTTGTAGCCAAAACAGGCCCACCCCTGCCCTGACCTGTGGATGACCCCACTAAGGAACCCTCGTGCCAAGAGGCGCCTCCTCCCTCACGCGGGTTCAGTCTCATGTCAAGCTGTCGTTGCCTGAATGGAAACCGGAAGTTGTTACAATATAAAAACAAATAATAGTCGTGTGTTTGTCTTTTATGGACAGGAAACTTGAATCTGCCTATGGACAATGGCCATTCCTGAACAGAGAACTTCTTTGAAATCTTTGTATCGGCTCCAAACATGAAAGAAATGAAAGAGTGAATCATACGAGCTGAAAGATGGTTTTATTTCTGCTCCGTAACCGGAAGTTGGTGTTTCATTCTCGCCGCTTTGTTCTCATGTTGATGTGACATGAAGACATCACACTTCAGGGTTCCGGCTGCAGGACATAACTTCAAACAATGTAAGTTATGTAAACGTAGTTTTGATTTTGTATTTTAATTTAATGAATGTAAATATGATCTATAATGGGATTCTATTACAATAATAAAACTCAAACTTTTTGAAGGTGCACTACGGAAGATTCAGCTGTTTTAATGCCAAAGTGTGTACGATGTTAAACAAAGTCCGCATGCATATTTACAAATTATTTATTATTCACAAATATCACCTTTTGAAAATGATCACTTCGTATATGATTCAAGTTTGGGCTAAAAGGGGAATTAACAAGTTTGACTCGGCCATTGGATGACCTTATGGTGGATCTGAGCGCTCAGCCAATGCACTATATCAGCCATTCCCAAACTCAGTAACACCGAGGCCCCCTTAAAAATCTGACGGGTCTGCGTGGCCCCCCAAAATAATAACCAAGAAGACAACATTAAGAATAGGCTCTTCTGGTTATTTTATTTTGGGGAAATAGCCTCTGCTACAAACATTGTAATACAAAAATGATTACAGTGGATTATTCAAGTCAAATAATGAACACAAATATTTTAATATTACAAACAAAACATTATAAATTTAACATTAAATAATTATTTTATTTTTTTTATGACCTCCCGCGGCCCCCCTGCAGTACCCTCGCGGCCCACCAGGGGGCCGCGGACCCCACTTTGGGAGACACTGCACTATATCAAAGTTCATACTGAGATTGATTAACTGTTTACATTCACACATGTGTCACTGTTTGGGTAAGCTGTCACCACCACCACCATCATCTCCACCACCACCTCAACCAAAAGTTGTAAAAAAATAGAAAATAATGATGTAATGACATAATATTGCCTTTTCTAGGTTTGGTAAGAGTGCCATAACAGTCCTTGTCCTGGCTGTAGCTGTGGGCATGTATCTACTGCCTTCTCCAATAGACCCCAAGCCACACATGTTTGTACAAAGTTGATCATATACATTTCGTTGGTTTAAACTTATATAAAAGGGGGGATCTCTGTTATGTACGTCCAGATTGATAGGTCCTCCACCTGGTCTGGAGGGCCCCCTGGCGGTCAACACCCGTCTGCAGAATGGCCACAGGTTGTTCACAGGAAAACTCCATGGGCCTGAATCATTCACAGCTGATGAGCAAGGTGCAACTCACTGCAAATATCTTAATGTTAAAAATAACTGTTGTGTTTCTTGTGTCTCTTTGTTTTGTGTTTTAGAGTTGTCTTTACATTGTGCATGTGTGGGTTGTTTAGGTAATGTGTACACTGGCACTGTTGATGGAAAACTGTGGAAGATTGGTCCTGATGACAGCCTGACGTTTATCACTCAAATGGGACAAAATCTACAAGAATGTGGTAAACTGGGTTTATATCTCAACTGAATTAATTTAAACTAATCCCACATTTGTCTTTATATGAAAGTATATGAATTTTTTTTAATCAAAAGTGGTATTCCTCCAGCTGCAGTTGTCAACGTGTTTTGTTATTGTTTCAAATTTACTGATAACGTTGAAAGAATTGGCTCAAGAAAGTGTTCATTTGTATGGCACTAAAAAAGATCTTTCCGAAAACTACTTGGTAAAGGGAAAATGATAAGCCTTTGAATATCATTTTAATGGCACTTCAACCATTCATATTTGAATTGGACATTTGTTTGATAAAAGTAAAATCATCCTTTTGGGTTCTATCATTCCTGAGATGATTTGATATTATGAGACCATGATTTGAACATTCGACTTGTTGTGCAGGCAGCTCTTTTGACCTGGAGCCTCTGTGTGGCCGTCCTCATGGCGTTCGCATGAATCGTGACGGTCAGCTGATTGTTGCAGATTCATATTTAGGGCTCTTCAGTGTGAACCCTCAGAGTGGAGAGAAGACTCTGCTCTTGTCCAACTCACAAGGTTGGAAATATTTATAATTGATGTGACATAACTTTTAATGGTGACAATATTTTCACTTTCAAAGGTGCAAAGGGTGTTCCTTTTGCGTTTTTAAATGGCCTAGCGATTTCCTCTAAAACTGGTATTCTTTATTTCACTGATTCGTCGAGTCGCTGGGGCCGCAGACATGTCAAACTAGAGGTGGGACACATCTTCATATACTAATCATAAAATGAGAGAAAACCAATAAAACAGTAAACAATGCATCATCAGGTGATTGAACTGAACAGTCTCGGTCGGCTGCTGTCCTTTGATCCTCAAACGGGACAGGTACAGGTCCTGCTTGAGTCCCTGTACATGCCCAATGGGATCGCTCTGTCTCCAGAAGAGGACTTCCTGCTGTTCGCAGAGACCAGCATTGGACGCATCATGAGGTAGATGCACTGAAACTACACACAACCCTGGCACAGACATTTAAAGCAAAAGGCCCTCAGCTGTTTGTTTGAGCAACCCTGCATAGACTGCATGTATCCTTCTATGATATTGACTCAATCAGACCAGTATGAGTGATGGTTAACTTCTTTTATTTAGGCCCTAATGCTTTGTTTGTCTTGAAATGGAGCATTACAGACAAAAGAATAAATGCAAACTTTTTTTCATTCATCCATCTTGTACTCCTCAGATACTGGCTGACAGGGGCCCACGCTGGTACCAAGGAGGTGGTAATGGATAACATGATTGGTTACCCCGACAATATCCGCCTCAGCGATTATGGGACATTCCTGGTTGGCATAACAACTCCTCGCTTCCGGAAATTCATGCCTCCCTTCCTGGACCTGATTGCTCCATACCCCGCCGTCAAGCGATTCCTGGCAAAAGTGAGTGATTCTCAGTGGCACAAATTCACTTTTCTGGTCTGCCAACTACTTTTTTCCATTGAGCCATTATTGCTTTGCCTATAATGTTTCACAGCAGAGATTGAAAGCAGGCTGGTGACTGATCAGATCTATGGAGAGTTGAAGCTGGTCAGAAAGTGTGTGTTGTTATTTATGAAGACTTATTTTGGTTAGCATCATTTTTTGTCAAAATGTCTAAATCAATATTTCCTCAACATTGGGATTGCAATATTATTTTTGAAATCCTACATGTTTAAGAAATATTTTTGTTGTTATGCGAGTATTTTTGTTGTTATATGAGTTCTAACCTATACATAGTTCCCACAGACCAATGAATGTCACATGACCTCCTCGGAGACGCCATCTTTGATGGCACGCTGCTGTGTTTGTGCATTCCATTAAACAGAAGAATGAGAATAAATGTAGATATTCAAACGCAAATTGGAAAAAAAGGGCAACTTTTGAGCAAATAATTGTATATTAATACAATGGCACCACAGTTTAACGTGCTACGGACATGTTTTACATATTTGATCAAATTATGCAGCAAAAATTAACAAGCAATGCAAACATTTCTCAAAAACTTTAGATTTAATACCAGTTGGAGCTCCATTTAATTATTTTAATTATATTAACAATTAATTTAATTAATGCTAATGCCACACGGACACTCTGGATTGCTGTTATTGTTTATTTCCGCGTTTTTGACCGTATGTTTTGGTGAATGGTGGGCAACTGATTTTTCCAGGCGTAAAGAGCAGTTTATTTTATGACACAGATCTATTTACAGAAGCAATGCTGTTTGTGAACATTGTTTTAGCCCACCATAGAACTATTCTTATCTATTTAATACATTTACGTTGCCCTCGAGAGCCTCGGACGCGACACCGATCCTCCTCATAATAAAGTAATCTAAATAATGAAACTCTCAAGTTACCAGATATCAGCATACACAAGTTAGTACTGAGTAAATTACGTCTGTCAACACATTATGAGATACGATACGCACCTGACACAAAGTGCTCCGAGCATATTCTTGCGTGTTTTGAGGGAGTTTCTTGCCTGTTTATCTTCGCAAGCCATAACCTCCGTGGTTGTTCTGACAAAAGCTTAGTCTTCTCACATTCATGAAGTCTAATGATGGGTATACTGTAAAATCCAAGTTTAACGGAACCTCCGGCACGATTTGAACATCCATTGACCCAGCAGGAGATGACCATTTTCAACTTTATCACGACATTAACACGTTTCAGCTTCTTTTTCTATTGTTTTGCCCACAGCATGCCAAGACAAATGGCGCCGGGTCGGCAAATCCCCGTATGTAGTGACGTCATGTGGGAACTATGTATAGTGAAAAAAAATGTATTTCTATTTTTACTACTCTGTGTTGTACTAGTTATGCACTATCGTCAAAATATAATATTTTTTAGGGACTGCAGATGAAACGTAGGCTACTTGCTAATTCTGGTGCATTTACAGAAATGTTTATTAATGCACAATGTCCCTGTCAAACTATAAAAATAAATATGAACATTTCAATTTTCATTTAAGTTTGCCCTTAAAAATATTTTTTGATCTTTCCGCTCAATAATCAAGTTCTAAAACAAATTTTAATTTGTTTCCATTACGTTTAAAAAAAGTCTTGTACAGACTGTGCTGATTTTGCAAGTATAATTCATGTGCTGCTGGAACTTCCACAACATCCTTCATTCGATTACACGATTTTCACATTTTTCACGAATTCAATTTTTTCAAAAGCCGATCAAGCCTAAATTTGATTTATTGCCCAGCCCTAGTGTGCATAGAACTTAAATAATGTCAGTCTGTTGTGTACTTGTCTGTAGGTAATTCCTTTGAGCTGGTATAATCTTCTGCTTCCCCGCTATGCTCTTGTCCTGGAGCTGGGAGCGGATGGGAATATTTTGAGAACTCACCACGATCCCGAGGGCAGACTGACGTGGAGCATCAGTGACGTTTTTCAGCACCGGGGAAGAATGTACCTTGGAAACACTGAGCTGCCCTTTCTGCCTGTGCTGAACTCATGGGAGCACAGCTGATGGAGGTAAAAAGAACTGAAGTGCACTTGAGATTCCTCGTTTGTCTCCGGAATGATCCTAATTAGACAGTTTGTGTAGAGGCCAAATTCTGGGGGATGGGGCTTGATGCATTGAAGCACTAAGTACAGTGCCTTGCGAAAGTATTCGGCCCCGTTGAACCTTTCAACATTTCGCCACATTTCAGGCTTCAACCATAAAGATATAAAATTTTAATTTTTTGTCATGAATCAACAACAAGTGGGACACAATCATGAAGTGGAACGAAATGTATTGGATAATTAAAACTTTTTGAAAAAATAAAAAACTGAAAAGTAGGGCGTGCAATATTATTCGGCCCCTTTACTTTCAGTGCAGCAAACTCAGTCCAGAAGTTCAGTGAGGATCTTTGAATGATCCAATGTTGTCCTAAATGACTGATGATGATAAATAGAATGCACCTGTGTGTAATCAAGTCTCCGTATAAATGCACCTGCTCTTTGATAGTCTCAGGGTTCTGTTTAAAGCGCAGAGAGAACCATGAAGACAAAGGAACACACCAGGCAGGTCCGAGATACTGTTGTGGAGAAGTTTAAAGCCGGATTTGGATACAAAAAGATTTCCCAAGCTTTAAACATCTCAAGGAGCACTGTGCAAGCAATTATATTGAAATGGAAGGAGTATCAGACCCGGCCAAGGCCCTCCAAACTTTCATCTCAAACAAGGAGAAGACTGATCAGAGATGCAGACAAGAGGTCCATGATCACTCTGGATGAACTACAGCTGAGGTGGGAGAGTCTGTCCATAGGACAACAATCAGTCGTGCACGGCACAAATCTGGCCTTTATGGAAGAGTGGCAAGAAGAAAGCCATTTCTCAAAGATATCCATAAAAAGTCTCGTTTAAAGTTTGCCACAAGCCACCTGGGAGACACACCAAACATGTGGAAGAAGGTGCTCTGGTCAGATGAAACCAAAATCAAACTTTTTGGCCACAATGCAAAACGATATGTTTGGCGTAAAAGCAACACAGCTCATCGCCCTGAACACACCATCCCCACTGTCAAACATGGTGGTGGCAGCATCATGGTTTGGGCCTGCTTTTCTTCAGCAGGAACAGGGAAGATGGCTAAAATTGATGGGAAGATGGATGGAGCCAAATACAGGACCATTCTGGAAGAAAACCTGTTGGAGTCTGCAAAAGACCTGAGACTGGGACGGAGATTTATCTTCCAACAGAACAATGATCCAAAACATAAAGCCAAATCTACAATGGAATGGTTCACAAATAGACGTATCCAGGTGTTAGAATGGCCAAGTCAAAGTCCAGACCTGAATCCAATCGAGAATCTGTGGAAAGAGCTGAAGACTGCTGTTCACAAACGCTCTCCATCCAACCTCACTGAGCTCGAGCTGTTTTGCAAGGATGAATGGGCAAGAATTCCAGTCTCTCGATGTGCAAAACTGATAGAGACATACCCCAAGCGACTTGCAGCTGTAATTGCAGCAAAAGGTGGAGCTACAAAGTATTAGCGCAAGGGGCCGAATAATATTGCACGCCCTACTTTTCAGTTTATTTGTTAAAAAAGTTTAAATTATCCAGTAAATTTCGTTCCACTTCACGATTGTGTCCCACTTGTTGTTGATTCTTGAAAAAAAATGTCATTTTTATCTTTGTTTGAATCCAGAAAAGTGGCGAAATGTTGAAAGGTTCAAGGGGGCCGAATACTTTCGCAAGGCACTGTAACTATAATGCAAAATACGAGTTTCACAAGAAGAAAAGTCAGTTGTACTGTTAGAGCTCACATAGGAGACACTTCTGTAATGTACGACACTGTTAATCATGAGTTTATTGGGAGCTAAGGATTAATTTAAAAATTTTAAAACGTACTAGTAAAGCTCTGATGAGTTTGTAGAAACATTTTTCACACAATGTCATTTATTTTTGTTTTATTCAGACAAAAAACAAAATGGTTCTGAAAGAAAGTGCTAAAGTAAAATGAAAATTGACCACTTTTACAAAAGCCAGTGAACAAATGGAGTATGACCAAATCCAAATCACAGCAAAGAAACCGGTTTAAAAATATTAAGTCAGTTCATATGTAACATTCACACAAAAAAAATAAATAAATCAGCAGTTATTTGAAATTTACCAAAACGATTCACATTTATGCGCTCTTCAATTACTGTATACTTCTGTCTCTGGACAAAACCTGTGGCTTATTGGTTAGTCGTTTAAAGGATAGTTTCACTTTTACAAAAAAAAACAATTGCACATACGCTGAAAAGAAGGTTGTTCTGCATTACATTTTCCACGTCAGAAACATAGCTTTACCACATCATCTATGGCCAATAATAAAGTCCGCCAGAAAGGATTAGGAAACTTGCATCAAGTCACTGCTTGAATAATAATTTAAGTTGGATTTCAGAAACTTGAGTTGGAAGTATTTGCACCCATTCATATTGATTCAAATGTGTCCTTATTTTTATGTGTGATAAATATGTAAAGTGCAAAAACTTTAGGCACCCTGTGATCATACAAGTGATACAAAAAAAAGGTCTTTCACTTAAAGTACGTAGTTAAAATAAAGTGTTAAAAATTAAATGGAACATTTCTGTGTGGACTAGAACGTCCAAAAGCCATGTACGCCCAGTACTTGTGACCGGGCCTCGAGCCAGACTGGAGTCACTGATTTGAATGGACAGATCTTGGGACTCGACTTGGATTATGATTCCAGTGACATGGAAGTGTTTCCTCATAAAAAAAAATAAAAAGAGGCAAGAACATGTGCCACACCCAAAGTTCTGTTTGTAGCTAGGACTTTAAGCAACATTTAGAAAAACAAACTGAAATGCGAGCTATACTTGGTCAATTTGTATAAAGACTGGAATCTCAAGGCAGAGGGGTCTAACCAGACTTATTGGGACAAACCAATAGTTTTCTTTTTTATAAACCAGCTGGTATGGGACGCAGGGCTCACGAAAGACTGTCCCGGGCAAATGGGGACGTCTGGTTTTCCAACAATAACGGCGAAGAAGAGATTAGTGAAGTAGTCCAATCTTCCATTTGGGATTCCTTCGTCACCACTCAGTGTTTCATTCATTTTTGTCTCAGCCTACGATGCTGCCGACTGTGATTGATAAACATCTGTCTGGGGTCAAATTTATACCTAGTAAGAAAAAAAAGGTATTTCAACTGAATGAATAATGCCTCTTAAAAGAATAATAATAATAATAATAATAATAATAATAATGAGTAAGAATGTATGAATCAAACCTTGGATCGTAAACCCCCGGCGACCGGCACGACTGCCCCGAACAGGACTGCAGTATCATCAAGCGGCGGTTCATCTTCTCCAGAACCTCTTGTTCAATGCTCTTTGCAACATTGGTCAACTGGAAAGGATCGGCCGTCATGTTGTAGACTTCAACAAACACCTGAAGGAAAAGCAATCAGTTATAACCTGTATTCTTTAAAAGGTCCCATTTTACGCTTTTGGACTTTACACATGCTTTACACATCATTACAGTGCTATGTGGCTTCATACACAGGAGTTTTTTTAATGGATTCCTTCAAGCTTTAGTTACAGAGCAATCTTTCTCCTTCATTCTCCATAGACGCGGGTCCACATCGATGACGCAGAAGCCTCTTTTTAAAATAGTTCTAAAATAATGTTGTTAAAACAGGGAAAATATATACTTTTAAATATACTGTTTGTTGTATGAAATAAAATAATGATGAAAATAATAATAAAATTGAGTCTTGTATGGTGTATCACCCAAATTATTATCACATATGTGCATAGGATGGATTGTGGAAACATTAGGGAAAGTGCAATATGGGACCTTTAAATCACAAATGTGTTGGAAATGGTATGTTTACAAAGAGTGAGTCTATTCCGTGATACCTTCGAACTGATTCGATCAATTTTGGAGCAGAATGTGCCAAGCGCTTATTTCAAAGGAGTCTTGTAACTTTGACTTAATTGTAAATAAAACCGCTCTAACAAAACTGTGTACGCACAATTTTTGTTTACTTTGAGCATGGGATTTTCACTCTTGCTCTAATGCAATACTAAAATAAATAATCTCTAACTAGCATAAAAAGAATCAGTATAAAATCTATTTTTAGCACAAGAAGGAAATAAGTCTTAATCTCCCGCTTTACCATGACAAAGAAGCAAGAATTAAGTTACGAATAAAAGAAACTTGACTTTAGAATAATAAGTATCAAATGCTGTATATTCTAGTGCAAGTAATATGTAGTTGAGTGTATACATGTTTACATGAGGGTCTGGGACAAAGTGACTAACACACTGACACATGCCACACAAACTGGATTCTTACCCCTCAACACAAGTTCACATGACTCTTGCTCAAGTGAATGAAATTTCAGAGAGACCCGGTTTATCACTGGTGCTTTGTGAACTATACTAATATTCTCGATCAGGGGTCTTGTCCACACACACACTGCTCCACTGACCTCATTGTCGTCAAACTCGCAGTACTGCAGGTTGGCGGATGGGGCAAGCGTGCGCACACAGGCGTAGGTGTTGTTGTAAGAGTCTTCACATACACAGTCTGGGAAACACTCCTACAGTACAGGGGGTATAAATTAAATCAGTTCTTCTGTTCTCGGCCGATCAAAAATGTGTTCAACCATACCGACACTCCGGGGCCCAGCAGGGGGCAGGCAGGATCCGACACGTTGCTTCCTTCTCCTTCATATTCCACCAGGATGTCTGTCCTCCAGCTGCTGCTGTTCATCAAACCCTCCTGATGGACACATGCAAACATTTGTGTCATCTTTATGGTTAGCATTAGTGAAAGCACTAGGAAACATTCACTTTATTATCATTTTTGGACAGGTGATAAATGGTAAATAGATCATATTATCTGAAAATGTATTGCCAGCTTTAGGTTTATTGCCCTGGCATTATGAAGAATCTCACATTTACATTTGCATAAATATACACATGCAAGGTTTTTGAGAAAATGTAGTATATTATTGTACCATTTGTTATTTGTTTCACCATTACTTTTGATTGAGTACAATATTGACTTTGATAAATGAAAAGTACAGGTGTTTTTGCAGGGATCTCACCATTATAGGCAGGAAGGACATGCCGTCCATCTGGGTTTTGCTTATATTGTAGCCAGCGATGTCCAGCATAGTCGGACCAATGTCAACGTTAGCCACCAGCATCTAGTTTTTGTCATTAATGCAAATAAAATAATAATTACATACAATCATGCAATAAACATTCACAGAGGATAATCAACATACAATAATATAAAATACCTGACTGGTCTGGTTTGGCTTAATCTGTGGACCTCTGACCATAAGAGGAACGCGGATATCAAAGTCATACAGTTGCCTTTTATCCAGTGGAAGAGAGAATTGACCTGGAATACATAATAGATGTCATATATATTTATGTAAAAGAAAAAAAAATCTAAACTTGTGTCAGTCTGAACCTGTGTGATAACCGTTGTCTGATGTAAAGAAGACGTAGGTGTTGTCCAGTTCACCCCTGACTTCCAACTGCTTCACTATTTTTTCCACTAGATCGTCCACTGACAGCAGCGTGGTCCACCTAAAGCAAACAGAACATATTCATAAAACAGTGAAGCATAGTTGAAAACACTAACGTTTTTTTGAAAACACCATTGAGATGCCCTTGGATCTATCTCAAATGTGCAGTACAGGAATTTACAGAAACTGAAGGCTTTTTGCTAAGAAGAATGGGTAGCTCCTACCATTTGAGAAGATAAAGAAACTTATTATCATGAGTAATTTCTGTTATTATAATTTAAATGTTAATTGGACAATATAGTACTTTTTCAATTAGTTAGATTTTATTTCAAACCTGCAGAACACAATTTTCCATATCTTCAGACTAATACAGGTTTGAAAAGGGGTTGGATAAAGCAGACGCTGATTTTTTCCCAACCCTCTCACCAATTCAACTCATTAATACACATGATTAATCGCAGGGATTTTCCCTGTTCTTAATCTCCCTCGATTTGGTTTGAAAAGGATTGAATGAAGCAAAAGCTTATATTAATCCAATTGCCTACAAAAAATAAAGTATTTGGATTGTCTAATATAGACTGCCCAATCTCTGCATACGTTTGTTATTGATTGTTTACAGTGTATAGAACTATTTAACATAGATTATTCAAGTCATTCCACTATTAACAAACACTATTTTGTTTATGCTTTCATTCAAGTCAGTTAGATGTTTTACAGTATATATTTGACTGTCATGAGCAGTGGAAATACCTATAGCTTCAATGTTTGGACTGGAATCCAGTAATCCCAATAAGAAGCACAAACTCATAGCTTCACACAACCACTAACAATGAGTGAAAAAAGGCATTTTTGTGATCATTCATAATCAATGAAATATGACATTTCAAAGATTACACATTTTCGGCTGGGTGTGTGAAATTTCAAGCACAGCTGTAAATGTAAAATGCACATATCCGGCAACTGACCTCTTCCTGAAAGCATCGTCCAAAAATTTGATAGAAGAGTTGCTCATGGGGTTTTTTGCTTGTCTAATTAACCAGTGCTTGTCCTGAAAAAGTGCATTGTGGGAAAAATGGCACGACATGTTGAAGCAGTCTCATAAACGGTGGTGCAATTGAATCGACATTTATTATTATGATTTCACATTACCTTTCCGTGAATGTTGAAATTTGGAGCTCTGGGTGCTTTGGTCGTGTTAAATGTGTTCTGATACTGAGGGGCTGCAGTCCACGGGGAATGAGGAGCCGGCACTGACACCATCATAAAGAACGGATAGAAGTTGGATTTGTATTCTAAAAAGTCCAGGGACTTGTTGGCCTGATGAAATAGAAACATACATTGACTTAGATCTAGTAAAAGTCAATCTATACTACAACTATAACATTGAGGTCTTCAATTGACTCACCAACACATCCGTCAGGTAATCTTTGTTGTAGTCGGATCCATGAGTTTGAGCTTTCCCATTCACAGACAGAGTATAGTTGTAGTATTTGGAGTTCTTTTCCTGAAAATTGCGTGAGTCATAACAATTGTGATCATTGGAAAAAGGGGAAATCTATAATGAAGTAAAAGAAGGCATTGTACCAGTCCAACCCAAAAGCTCCAGCCAGGAGGTACGTGCTCCACTCCTCCTGCCTTTGCATGTCCATACTGAAGGAAACAAACAAGGCGACGGTCAAAATAAGTGATCAACAACAATGGAGACAAGTGTTTACTGCAGTTTGTTCATTGTTCCATTCTGTTACTCAACAAAAGTGTGAGTTTGAGTCGACCCATCTCAAGAGTATTTATCATTACTTGTTGTGTCTTTATCCTAAGTAAACGGCAGTGGCTCAGTTGGTTCGAGCCCACCACGAGACCTTCTCCACCGACTTCCACTGATCTCTGCTATCGTTGTGTCCTTGGGAAAGACACTTAACCCACTTTGCCTATAAGGAGCGCGGAAGTGATGTTCGCTGCTTGCCTTGATGTGTATGTGTATATGTGTATGCATCAAACTGAAATTTCCCCATTGTGGGACGAATAAAGGACCTTCTTCTTCTTCTTAACGTATTACTACTTATTACGAGCCAATTGAGGGTCATATGTTTTGACACATTAGTTATGGAGCTACTCTGAGCTCTGGGCAAAGAAAGTGCAAAACCACTTTTCAGCTGATGTCATTAATGGAAACCACTGGAAATGTCATTTACAACAAATGATATCTTTCATCTTCAGTATCGATACTAATACCTACAAGAATTTTACAGGATATAACCCAATCTTAGCATTATTAGTCATTTCAGAATGTACTGAATGTGGTGAACTTGATATTATATTATATGTCCAAGAGAGCGATCGCAATAAGATAAATGGTCCGATATACAGTCTTTCCCACTTCTAGACATATCTTAAGCCATGTACATCTGTAGAACCTGATCTCACTATCCACACAGCAGTATATATTCACCTGGTTCAGATATTTTCCTGCAAAGAAGGTCTGGTAGCCAGCGTAAGACTTCAGTAATGCAGGGAATGTGAGACTCTCCTCGGTCTTCTGCCATGCGCTGCTGCTGCAGTTTCCCTCCAGTGTGTTGTTGATCACATGGTGGTTGTGTGGATATTTACCCGTGAGAATACTGGCTCGACTTGGGCAGCACAGGGGACTGGCCACAAACTGACACGGGGAAAAATGAGGTCAAAATGGGTTAAAAGAAAAAAGAAACATAACCAAATAACGGTTGTATAAATATTGTGAAAACACATGAATAACATTGCTCTAAAAATTTCATAACATGCGTTATAATACCACTTACAGCATTTGTGAAAGAAATCCCTGCATCTCCAATAAGTTTTTTTGTCTTACTCAATGGGGTCTGAAAGAAACACAAATAATAGTAAGGCTAATGCAAAAGGCATTAGAAGCAAAGCTACTACCCCCTGCTCAAGTATTACATGTGTTTGTTGATACAGATCACATTACATTACAGCACATTATGTTAAGTTTATGTTCCAGGATTAGTTTAGTTACAAAACAAAAGGCATTTGTTTCGACAGACACACATCTTATATAGACTCACCAGTCCTCCGTTAGAGAGGTCCAGGTCGTCAGTGAGAATGAAAACAATGTTTGGTTTGCGGTAAGACTTAGCGGAGAGTCCGCTCAGAGTGACGCAGATGAACACGCACTTTGTGAGAGTGTGCAACCCTCCGTGTGGAGAGGCCATCTCACAACAACTAGCACTGTAGACACTATGTGCTCTCCCTCTGAACCACGAAGTCACCAGAGGTCTCGACTCTTATCATAATAAAAGATCCATCCGTATAATAAGCGGTGCTCCACTTCCTCTCCTCACTGGTCATGTGCCTCTCGTCTACGGAAGCCGAAAACACAAACACACGTGAACAATATTGTAACTCACGGTTATTTCCCCCGAAACAAGGACACAAAAACACAAGACAAAGCACATGTTGTGGTAATGAGTCTTGATGTAGTTTGGATCCGTACGCCTGTCAATGTAATGTGTTTATTGAATCGTATTTAACAGTTTGATGTAATAATAAAGTGCATGAAAATGCAACAGTTCAGACAGGCACAGCCACACTGTCTTTATTACCATTACACATGAGTGATTGGACAGTGCAGAGGCGCTCATGCACCTGTGACAGAGTTTTGGCCTGTCCCATTCTGCTGCCACAGGGGGCAGGACGAGACCTCCCAAACTCTCACAGGGCAGTCTATGGCAGAGAGAGACGCAGTCAGGACGGTCCCCACCTATCAGAGGCGAATGGAGTGCTCCAGGAACTCTATCCTCTCAAAACTCCACACAAACTTTTGTAGTCAGCTACACTGGTTAAAAGTAGCAGTTTAGTGGATCCGACAAAGTCTACTAATGTAGCTCATGTCCACAATGGCGTCAAAGGTAAATATAAATGGGGCTGAACTTTTGGAAGTTGACATATGTGACGACAGCGGCTTGTGCTTTGAAGAAAGTGAGTTTGCGAAGGCTCCGTGTGAGTCCCGGGATGGCTTCGCAGACTTCCAGCACTGGACAGGGGCCGACCCCCAGCAGGTGCTACCGGGGGTCGATCCCTGGAACCCCGACAGTGACAGTGGAGGCGAGGCCCCTCGGAGCGCTCCGCGGGCGTCCATAGTGGACCGCCTGCTGGTGGAGCTGTATGACACGTACAGCGCGGCCAGGAGACAGGACAGCTGGGACAGCTCCACTGAGGCGTCCGGCTCTGAACACACAGCCCTGTGCCGCTATAGCCCTGCATCAAGCCTGCTGCAGGAGCTCCAGGAGAAGCACACTGCCGCCCACCAGAGGAACTACCTGTCCCAGAAAGGTGAGGGTTCACTGTGCACATCTCCATAACCCACAACATGTCACTATGTCTTACTGCACTTTCTTATGACGCCTCACAGCTGCCCATGTGGCTGGGATGCCTGAGCTTTACTGTTGGCGTTGGCCATGATCCTACAGCAAACACAGCAGTCTGTTTGTCCTTATATTGAGGCCTTGGTTAAACAAAGCACAGTGACAGATGCATCAGGATCAGTTGCATAGTTTCACACAAGTTCCTGGTGTGTAAAACGAGGAAGCCAAGTCCTTATTGAAAAAGAAAATGTGGCAAAGGTAAAACTTGGTTACACAAGATAAGATAAAGATAAGCTGAAAGATAACAATTTGCTTTTACCTATTGTAAAACTAATATACCGCTCAGGATTGTTATTGCTGCTACCTCAATAGAAATGGTTCAAGTGTACATGCTTTCCCCTTAATCTCGTGCCCCGAGAACTACATGGCCCTTTCACTCATCCCTGTGTTTAAATACATTATTCAATAACACCAACAATGTAATGTTGTTTTTGTCTCTCTCTCAGATGTGGAAGAGTTACAGTCTATGATTCAGGAGGTGAAGTATCGCAGCAGTCTACAGTCCGCTAAACTGCTTCGGCAGCTGAAGCGCCGAGACCGACTCGGCCACAAACTGCAGAAAAACTATGACATTATCACAGCATGTCTTCAGGCTGTTTCTCAAAAGCGACGTAAGAAAATAATTATATTCATACAGGTGATTTTAAACTATCTTTATAATGGTACTGCAAATATAGCACTACCTTTCTGATGCTCAAAGACTCTTCACAGGGCATCATTCATTCATTCCATTATAATGGCGTTAAGCCACAGCTTTTCATGGGCAGACTGACAGAAGCAAGGTTGCCAATCTAAGCTTTTGCCTCCTCTGACCACAACCTACACTGCTTATAGGAATGAGGCCTGTGCATTTGGGGAAGTGTCTTTCCTTGAGGGAGAACCCCTTTGGCACTAGAGCCGTTGTGGCACATAGTATTTAGGATTATTATGAATTTGTCAGGAAAGTAAATACTTCCATTAAGAAAATGCTAACTTTATTGATTCCAGTAGGAGAAATTCAGGTGTCCAGTAGCAGCAGAAACACATTCATACAAACAATAGATTATTGTAAAAATGAAAAACAGTAGTAATAAAATGCAACAGCACTTTAGATCACTGCACCCCGCTCCCATCTCTGTGTGGAGTGAGAGGACAAGTGCCCAAAAAAATAACAATTGTAAACTGCTTTGTGACTCTGGTCTGTGAAAGGCGGTATATAAATAAAGCTTACTTACTTACTTACTAGCAGAGGTGGTGTAGCCGCTGGTTGAAGCAGAGCAGGCCATAGAAGGCAGAGGTGGAGCCGTTTAGTTAGGACCACTTTCTAGTCCAAATTGAGATGCTTTGTCATAATTTTTCAAAACGTTAGCATTCCTCCAGTGATTTCGCCTGATCCGTTTGGTTCGGACCATGAATCCTCTCCGCTCTGGTCTGGAGAAAAAGCAATAAATAAAAACATTTTAATGCACAAAACAACAATTGTTTCAAAGCTACTTATAGGACTTGCTTCCGTGTCCAGCTCATTCAAAAGTAAACTAATTACTATTTACTCACTATATTTAAGATTATAATAGTGGTATTTATTTATTTACTTTATTGATCTCACACCGGAGATATGTACATGTCACATCATGGCATGGATAGAAACACTCAACATTGTGCAAAAAGAAAGAAATGTGCAAACATGTTAAATGCAGGATATGTTATGTACAATAAAAGTGGCAATTAAAAAGTGGCAATCAAAGAAACTGTGTCAATAGTACATGGGACATTATTTAAATTATTTTTTGTTTTTTGTTTTATGGTATTCTGGTGTGTAGTCTATAACACAATGACCTTAGGTGTCCAAACTAAGGCTCGTGCAGGCCAAATGCAGCCCACTGTGCCATTTTGTGACCCTCTACTCTTCTGACACAAACAAGCCGATGAGGCACTTTGACACTGTCATGTAACCAACTCGAGCTCCATCAATACGTCATAATAATGTCATGCCATACCTTGTTGTAAAGCTCAGGACCTTTTTAATTCAATCGTTAACTTTAAATGTATATACTGTCTGTTATTTTTTGATTGCGTCACACAATTCCATAAATGGCTCTGGTGCAACTGGTGTGTATCAATAGACACATCAAATCCCATGTAGAAGCTTTACACAGTTTTTACGATAAGTTCAGAACATCATTCCTCGGGGTAAAGTTGGAGAGAGACAAAGTTTTCTCTGAAGCATTACCTCATCTCTGTCCAACCATTCCCCCGCATCCCTCCTGCCGACTCCGCCTCCAGTGACGCCAAGTGCAGCATCAGCACCGCCATCCTTCAGACGCCTACAGATCGTCGCTCTTCCGCCGTTTCTATTGCCTTCAACTGATATGAAGACAAGAGGAGGACATTCTTGCCCGCCGTTTAGTCAGAGGAAGGTCTGTTGTTTCGGTTGTGCCCGCGATAGTCTCTGTAAGAACCGTGGTGCGTGGGCCGCTCCATAGACCTTACGGTGGGACGGAGAGGAACACCATGCCCGTACACATAGCGTCTCCCTGATTCAGGCTTTTATTTTTATTTTATTTTGCCACACATGGGCAAAGACACAAAGAGCATGAGGTGATCGTACCGAGAGACAGATCCGATGAAGCAGGAGCGTCTGTCCAGCAGGAGGCCCAGGGCGGGGGTCCGGCAGCGGCAGCACGGCTCGGGAGGAGTCGGTAACATCATCAGCAGCGTCCTGAAGAAGCGCAATGGGATATCCCGAAGTGCACCTCGCCTGCTCTGCACCTTGGAGCCAGGTGAAGCCGGATAAGAGCTTTTCTTTTTTTTGTTATCGTTCATGTGTCGCCTATAGCTTAGTCTTGTTACTCATTGAGGTATATGCGTTTAGTTTGGGATAGTTTTATAAATCATGGATGCGTTCTGGTATTAATATGTACAGTCTATGGTTCTGGTCCCATACAGATCTACACTTAAGTCTTCTGCTAAACACATGCTTTTATTTACTAATTGTGCCAAGTCTGTGTTGAAATGGACATGGACGCGCGTGTGTGTCATGGATATTATGGTGTGTGTGTGTGTGTGTGTTATGTGTGAGAGTGTGTGTGTTATGTGTGAGAGTGTGTGTCAGATTTATGAGACGTATGGGAGGTGGGAGGCGGGTTTTGCGTGGTAATCCTTTAGTGCAGGTGAAAACGAACACGGAAGAATGGCGCACACCGACACCACCGGAACTGGCCACTCAGGTTACGCACTTTTTTTTTTAGCTTTTGTTTGCAATTGTATGTAGATTTTCTGTATGCATTCGTGAGCCGCACTGTACTTCAGACAGTGTACAATCTAAAGCGCTTGGGTCCAAATTTAAGGCAGTTGGATAAGCTAGTTAAAGCCTTGAGCTAAAGCCACCACGTCCCTCTTGACTTCAGATTATTTTACGTTTAATTTCCGTTGGGTCAAATGGTGGATTTGCACAAAGCACGCATGCAATTTAGAGCTTGGATCGTGTGCCAAAGTGATTTCCAGTTACATAGATTGAGTTGGGATTCAGCACCACGCGAAATGGACAGCGACAAGGGATTAGACCCTTTCCGGGTGGACTAAAACGGGTTCAAATCACGTTTCAAGAGACATGCAAGTGTTATTAGACTCCTTATTTTTCTCATCACACGTTTGGGGCTGGTATTGCCTTGTTATTATTCTATACAGCAGAAACCTGTCGTGCAACCCTATTCCTTTTATTATGTGTTTTTTTTATTGAGCAGCCATTCATTCACTCATTTTCAACCCCTTTTATTAGTCCATCTCTGGGTGTGTAAAGTTGTTGGCGTGGTCCGGGCCTCAAAAATAACCCAAGGAATCGTTAGCATTAAGAGCTTCTTTAAGTCACTTGCACTAGTACTAAAAACCTGCACTACTATTGCCACTGTTTCTTTAATTGCCACTTTTTTATTGTACATAATATAACCTGAAAAGACTATATTTAGCATGTTTGCACACTTCTGTCTTTTGCACAAATCTTGAGTGATTCTATCCATGCCAAATGTCTATCTCATCTTATCCTTTCTCACACTCTTTGTCAAATCAGAAGAACCAATAGAATAATATACTAATTCTGTCATTCCTACTCAAAACTTTCATATTGGTAGTAATCTAGTAGTAATCTTTATTTATATACCGCCTTTTCACTGCAGATCTGAGTCTCAAAGCGGTTTACAATTGTTAATTTTGGGCATTTGTCTCTCACTCCACACAGAGATGGGAGCGGGGTCGCCAGTACAGGAGGCGCATGCTAGAACTATTGGACATATTTTTAGTGGTAGGGGAAACCGGAGTACCCGGAGGAAACCTACGCAGACACGGGGAGAACATGCAAACTCCACTCAGAAAGGCCTTGGTCCGACCGGGATTCGAACCCAGGACCTTCTTGCTGAGAGGCGAGAGTGCTATCCACTCAGCCACCGTGCCGCCCGGTGGAATTGAATTAAATTGGACATTTAATTCTATCTATGTCCAATTTCAGGTGTTGACACGAGGCTGAAGTTCACCATCGAACCATCCATCGGGAAGAATGGATTTCAGCAGGTAAATGATTGGCAAATGGCACAACACAATTCAGCTCAGTGCTCATAATGCTGTTTCCCCCCCTTCCTCCCTCCCACAGTGGTATGATGCCCTTAAAGCAGTGGCAAGGCTCCCTACTGGACTGCCAAAGGAGTGGAGGAAAAGGGTAAGACATTTATGTATAGACTACAAAATAAAGTAGCAAAAATGTACAATCAAATCCTCCCTTAAAACTGTTATTGCTTTTGCAGGTTTGGCTCACTCTGGCTGACCAGTATCTACACTCTATATCCATCGACTGGGAGAAGACTCTACGCTTTGCTTTTAACGAGCGCAGTAATCCAGACGATGACTCCCTTGGCATCCAGATTGTCAAGGTAATTTCAAGAAGCGAGCGTAGATCAACAAATTACCATATACCCAATCTATTGTTGATGAGCTTACTATTTGGGCAAGGATTTTCATGAGAAGCCCTCGTACAAATGAGCCAGTTGTGCTTCGAAATTTGCACACCCAGCCAGAAATAAAATAATTTTGGCCTTGTTTTAGAGATTATGAATGATTACAGGAAAGGCTTTCACTTGTCGTTAGTGGTTGTGAAGCTATTAATTGCCAAATAAATGTATTTTCTAGTTTAAGCCTCTCTGGGGATATCTCTTATATGCAGATCATGTAAGGAGGCCCAGAAATTTTAGGAATGGAGAGGTTTTTGCCAAGCTTGACCATCCAAAAGAATACAGACTCGTAAAAGATGTTAAAGGGGGAAATGCAGACAATTGAGAACTGGGGGATGTGAACTTCTTATCAGAATCAGTAGTTGGAGCAGTTCATGTTATCTCTAATTTGAAAATATGGCTTCACACACCATCCATCCATCCATCCATCTTCTTCCCTTTAATCCATTTCTGGGTCAGGGGGGTGGCAGTCAGAGATGCCACCCAAGTCTCATAGCACCAGCCCCTTACTGACCCTCTGCAGGTGGTGAGTCCACAGGAGGACGGCTGCTCTCTGACTGTGAGCATAGCCTTGATCTTTCAGTGGGGGCTTTGGGCAAAGTGGGGTTAAGTGTCTTGCCCAAGGACACAACGACAGCAGTCATCATGGCTTCACACACCAGTTTATGCAAAATATTCGTCTGGGTGTGTAAACATGAAGCTCAACTCGATGTCTGTATCAGTGCTTTGAATACCGTGTACTCTCCGGGCAGGATCTCCACAGGACCGGGTGCAGCTCTTACTGTGGACAGGAGGGCGAGCAAGACCGGGTGGTGCTGAAGAGGGTCCTGCTGGCTTACGCTCGGTGGAATAAAAAAGTGGGCTACTGCCAGGGTTTCAATGTTTTGGCAGCACTCATTCTTGAAGTAACGGAGGGCAGCGAAAGCGATGCCCTCAAGGTGATGATCTACCTTATAGACAAAGTTTTACCAGAGAGTTATTTTGCCAACAACCTGCGGGCGTTATCAGGTAAAAAAAACAGTAAAACGATATATATAGGTAATTGATTGCATACATATATCGTCACTGTTTTTGTTTTCAGTGGATATGGCGGTGTTCAGAGACTTGCTGCGCTTGAAGTTGCCAAGATTGTCTCAGCACCTCCATCACCTACAGAAAACTGCCAACAAGGAGGCTGGAGGTATGATATTTTCACATTTACGCTACAATTAACCTTTCTATGGGAATCTAATGGGAGTTTTTTCACGTTTTTTTTCAGGCAGCTTTGAGCCTCCTCTGACCAATGTCTTCACTATGCAATGGTTCTTGACAATGTTCGCGACCTGTTTGCCTGCTCCAACCGTGCTCAAGATCTGGGATTCAGTTTTCTTTGAAGGGTCCGAGGTGCTGTTTCGAGTTGCCATTGCCATCTGGGAACGACTGGGAGAGTGAGTGAAGTGGAGAATGAAAATAATAGCTGGGGTGCCTAACTTTCCAACCACTAAAAAGTAACTATGTAATCCATCTGACTAGTTCCGCGTTCTCAAAACATTCCTGCTCATTCCTGGTTCTACAGCGTTATTCCTGAATCTATGGCCATCTGTGGGAGTGATCTTTCTCTCAGTATGGGACTCCCCAGTCCCCAAGGTCTCTCTGAGGGTCTAAGAACAGTGATGGTCTGGGACATTTATAAATATTTATTAACAGTTACGGTCATCCTGCTCCCTATGGACCAATGGCTCTTATGTATTTTTGTTATTATTGCATTTCCTGATTCTCTAATCTGTTGCAATTGAGAACTTTATAATGTCCTCAGAGATGACTGCTGCTGATTAGGGCTATTAAAAAATCAGCTCAAAGCATGGCATGCAAACAATTCTATTATATGAAGTATATAGGAGGATTTTCTACTTCCGGGTGGATCATCAAGACTATTTGTCCTCCCAATTGTCAATCATTCTGGTGATACGTGTTCTTGACGAGTGCTCCTCCGGTCTTATTTGACATAAGACCAGAGAGTTTTTCAAAGATGAAGTCGGCATGCAGTGGTCTGGTTTAGATTAAGATGTATCACAAGTTGCAGAGCAGTAGGAATGAGGAGCACACAGCACAATATTAATTAATAATAAATAACTCTATACTAAAAAAAAAATCTCTTACTTGAGTATCTGTAGCATAAAAGTCTGTTCACAACATTTACAAGACTTTTTCACGAACATAGTTTAAACATGGAACAGTTCGGTACCCCAGCTGTAATATTTTCTTCATATTAAGCACCAATAATGCTGTCGACTTTGTGCAGGAGAATAGAGTATTGCCACACTGCAGATGAGTTCTACAGCACGATGGGTTGCCTGACTCAAGAGATGTTGGAGCGAAACCTCATTGACCCCGCTGATCTCATGCATGTAAGAGGAGCACATTTATAAACATGTAGTATGAACCATTATCATGAAAAATCTGATCTGTGTTTCTTCTTCTGCATGTTGTCAGGAAGTTTACTCCATGGCAGTTTTTCCCTTTCCGCAGCTGGCTGAGTTGAGAGAAAAATACACCTACAATATTACTCCTTTTCCTACCTCAGTAAAATCCAATGGCAGGTTGGTCCCGAAAAGTCTCTGCATGTTTACGGAACATATTGACATTTGTGTCGTAATGTCTGTCTGTCTAATTCTTCTCAGTGGAGGTCTCGGCAGCTGGGAGAGCGACGATGACGCAGATATGGATGATGAAGACGCAATGGTGACTGCGCTTGGTTGTTTAGGGCCCCTGGGTGGACTGCTGGCCCCAGAACTACAGAGATACCAGAAACATCTCAAGGGTCAGTGGATTTCTTACTCGGATGTATTATGCCCTGCTTTTATGCCGGACTCCCCGCCTGGGACCTGCTTCAGTCCTACGTGGCACATCCTCGGTCCTCGTTCTACAGCCTGAGAGCTGGATCTGTTCATGGGAGCAAATCTCTTTCTTAATGTGGGCCTCTTTTTTGAGTTATTCCTTGCAGATGTAGGAGGTGCTGTGGACAGTGATTCTTTGCTCTGTTGTTGGTGAATCGACTTCTCTGTAAAGTCCCAACAGCAGTCGTGATTTAGGGCTAAACAAAAATAAATTGAATTGAATCGCTTTAGCCTCAATATTCCTGAAATCCTCTTTCTTTCAGTCCATTACGAGATGGTAAATCAGACTTAACATTCCAATTTCTTATTTCTTTTTTTGAGCGCCAGATTAGAAGAGCTATCATATAATGTTTTTTATGTCACAGTGTACTTTTTAAAACATTAAACATCAATAAATACATTTTTAAAATCTTTTTCAGACCATAGAGCTGAGCATGGTAATATTGCAGAGCTGAGTCCAGGAGCAGTCGGAGGGACAGGATCCAGTCGGTCTGAGCACCAAGCAGCGATCAACAGCATGATGATGGAGCGGATGAGCACCGACATCTACGCCCTCAAAAAGCAATACACCCGAATCAAGAAGCGGCAGCAGCAACAATCTATGCACCTCTGCATTCGAACAGGTGCGGGCGGAAATGTTATCATCTAGTTTCTTATTCCTTGATTTGAAATGCAAGTAATGGTTGAAAACAAATGAAATAAGTTTACAACAATGCTTGACTGTTAGGACGTGTACCTGAACTGGCCACGAGTCCAGGGATTCTTCAGGATCATCAAGTCAAAACTGATGGTACAGGGTTTAAAATCATAAAGTTTTAAGTGTCTTGGACTTTTCATGGTGAATAAAAGTAAACTATACAAATTCACACATTTGTGGCAATTTGAAAATCTGGGTTCTAATTTTATTCACACAGAAAATCTGCCTTAAAAATTCTCGTTTAAATTTGATCAATGAAAATGAACGACTGTGCTTAAATCTGCATGCTGGGGTTTTGCTTCGGTTTGTGCTTTCACCAACTCTTGCTTGTCGATTGCTCTTTTTTTACACCTTGTAGTTTATGTCACACTATGGACGTTTCCCAGTCACCTCCGCTCTGCCCTTAATCGGCTTGATTTGATTGCTTTTGTTTGTCTCACTTTTCTCTTACTACATACTTCCCATTCCAGTTTACACTATTCATACAGATGTGTTCATGTATTTCAGATAAGTGTCCTGCAACTCGGGTCACAAACTCCCAACTCAACAACTCGGCTGTCATCAACCACCTTCTTTTGGGTCGCCAGCCAAAAGCCTCCAGGCCTCCATCCACAGTGTCCAGAGCTGGCACTCCTTATTCCCAGGGATCTCCGTCAAGGCAACGCTGCAGTTCCTTCTCTTCCACCGGATCCAGCAGGAGCTCTCCTTGGCGCGATCACGTTCGTATGCACCGAAGAAACGTGGCCAGGGCTCGAGCTCAGCTGGGGTTTGAAGACTCTGAGGAAAAGGAGGATGACGACGAAGTGGAGGAGAAGGCAGAATCCATAGAGACCAGGAAGGAGAATGAGTTGGAGGAAAGAGCGGTTGATGATGCTGGATCTGACGTATCCGATTGTCTTTCTCAAAATTCGACGATGCGAGAATCTGCCTCTGTCTCCGGGCAACTTGAGGACTTTGCCGTCGAAGTGGAGGACGTCGTGGTGCAGTTGCATGCCTTCGACCTCAAAGACGAAGCCGCAAACCCGAGCGATCTGCAACCTCGCTCTCCCATTGCAGAGTCACTGGAGGAGACTTCAAGCCAAGACATAGATGCTGATTCAGACAGGACCTTTCCAGCATCATCATCTCCCGTTTCTCCTCCCAAAAGCCCCTCCCCAGAGTCGTCTCCTCATAAAGACCCTTCTTCAAACTCCTCCCCTGCGCCCGCTCCCATTACTGCCGCAACCTCCTCTCTCAAATCATCGTCTTCAGTCACCGGCCTGTCCTCTGCGGTCGCCCCAATGCCCACCGGCTTCTATAAAACTCCCTGCCCCTCCACGCCAGCTTCCCTCTCGTCCTCATCCTCTTTACCAAAGCTGGAAATGTCCTCCTCTCCCTCCACACCATCCCTTGCTACGGTTCCCTCTCCGAAGCAGCCAACCTTCTCGCCTTTCCCCTGTGTAAAGCATCCAAGGAAATCCACAGCTGCCAGAAACCTCGGTCTATACGGGCCCACTGCCAAAACACCCACAGTACACTTCCCGCAAATGAGCCGCAATCTCAGTCGGTGTAGCACAGCTGCAGCCACTGGGAGGCGCTAAAATGCTGTATTATTTTGCCCCCGATGACGTTCAAGTAGAACTGTTTTTCACCATGTTGCCTGCTGCAGATTCAGTATTGAAATGTTTTCTATTTCTGTAGGCAACCTTTTACTTTACTTAGCCTACACCTCCAACACATACATACAAAAGATGCTGTTCAAGGCATAAGCGCCCTCTAGCCATAAGTTTAGTGGCCTATGCATATGCTTTGTGTTAGTATTATTTCAAATTTCAGCTCAAATTCTCATTATTACATTCATTTATTCACACACAAGCCACGTGGTGATAATCAAGCACTTAGACACGCTTCTATTTATATATAAAGTCCATGACACGTCTCATGTTTGTTTATTCAACGTTAAGTGAAGGCAGAACGTTCTACTTTGTACAAACAAATGTTCATGGGAATTAAAATAATACTTGCTGGAAGCTTGTTCTATATTTGAGTGTTGACTGGCCCTGTGTGCTTGCTTCTATTGTTTCATTTACCTTTCTTCATTTGAAACTAAAATTATACAAAGGTGTTTAGCTTCTAAATGATCAAACTGAATTAAAAAAAAAAAAAAAAAACGGAAAAAAAACTGTGAAAAAACAGGAACCAGTGTATATAGTCTCTTATAAACATCTTTAATGCCCATTTTCAAGAAGCCAAGTTTGATTCTGATTAGCGCTGGGAAGAAGGATCACTTGGAATAGCACTTGAGTCAATATTCCAGAGGGAGATTAGTGATACGAGCTTGGGCTTGGAGAGGACTGTGAGAGAACATGTCTCCACTGTTCTCTCACTTTACCCAGGGGAGCTCTAAATGCAATTGTTGCTCCCCTCCACCACATACTATGCAAAGTAAATGCATCCTTAGATCCATCTTATACATTTATCTTACTGTGACTTTTACTACATTCACAGTAGGTTATATAGTATATACAATATTTATTGTGCACAGTTCACAATACCAACGGCTAAGACAATCCATCAAACTGTTCTCGGCAACAACAAAACATGATGCATCGACGTGATCATTATGACTCAAATATGTTTACAGTAGAATAAGGTTTTAATGTACGCACATAACAAATGAGGTATGGAACTTCATGATGAAGTGTAGGGATGCAACATGGTTTGACAACAGATACAGCTGTACTGTCGCATTCAATATTTAAGACACGAGGCACATTTGTTACAAAAGATTTACATACATTACTATGTAATATTGCTGTTACCACTTGATGGACCTTGGTGATTTACTTCTACTAAACATGTAAAGTATTGAAATGTAGATTTGAACAATAATAAATACATTCACTGGGTGTTGTTCCTATAAAAACAACCGTACGTTAAAAAAAATGTAATACAGTATCAAATACATTCTAAACCAAAGTCCTGCAGTTAGTTTAACTGCTTCTTGTCGTGACTGGAGCTTACAGGCTTCTACTGCACAGCTGTTAACGCACAGTGATGCGAGCCATAGTTGGATTAACGAAAGAGAAGTTCTGAAACATGGTCTGGTCCACACTATTGATGAGGGCGCGGTCGGCACAGGACAGACGGGGCTTCTCGTTGATGAACTCTTTGTCAAAGTTACTGCAGTCACTGGCCGATGTCTGTGGAAGAGGAAGAACGAGGAGGAGGAGGAGAGACACTTTGAAACAGTTACCCCCAAACAAGCAATTCTGTCTCTGATCATTCTATGTTGTTGTTTAATACTCACAATGGTGGGCTTGAAAGGAGGAGACACCTCTCGTTGTTCAATTGCCTTCCAGTTGATGGCGCTAAAGAAGCTGTGTTTCCTGATGTCTTCTTTGACTCCCAGACGCTCCTCTGGCTCTCGCACAAACAGCTGCCCACAAACAATCACCAGTTAACAGAGCACTACAGTAATACGTACATTTAGACTGATATTGGATTTAGGGGGTGCACATGCCATTTTAGTTTAAGCAGCATGTGCCAGTATATTGTTAACCCCTGATCACTCCAGCCTATTAGTGCAAAAAAAAAGTCAAATTGGACACACAACACAGTGCACACAATTGGCTGGAGTCTTTGTGAAGTTGAGGCCCAGACATATTGCCCTATGATGACTCTTTAACTTTTTGCACAGGGACAGATCACATTTGAGTCGAGGTACATAATAAAGAGGGTAGAGTATTGGTCTGGGGTGACTGTAGAATGACGAGGTAAGTTTCACTGAGATTCATAGTAATAAACTACAATAAGACAAAAGATCCAGGTGGAATACACAAAACAATCCATATTCACTTTTCAATTCTATTTGTTGGATGTCCAGGAGTTGGATGGTTTTATTCAATCCATATTCTCACAAGCAATAATGTATACAAAGGCTTTCATCTTTTAATTGTATATATTTGTCTACACTGCTCATGTATTTTTTGTCAATTTAAATGAGATATTGAGCAACTTTTCCCTTGTTTAATTTTGAACAATCAGTAGGAAATCAGTAGCAAAAAGGTCTTGTCCAATTGACGCATTGTGTTTTAAGACACTAAATTCAAGATAAAAGCCACTGGCATTTATTACCCCATTTATTTATTGTTTTGAAAAGTAATTTTGTTTCATACACATCAATTTTATGTATGTGTTTATTTGGACGAGACTGTGTACACCAGGGGGAGGGCTTGGGCTCATTTCCATCCATAGTGCCACACTGACACAGGAACATTCACTCTTAACTATTGTACAAGTTTTTCGTGGTAGGGGGAACTGGAGCACCTGGAGAAAACCTACACAGATATGTGGAGAACATACAAACTCCACACAGAAAGGCCTGTCTGGAGGTGGAATCGAACCCAGGACCGTGTTGCTGTGAAGAACAAGCACTAACCGCTGCACATCGTTGAAAGATAAATTAACTGAATTATTTCTATATTCATTTTTCTCAGTATTGTTTTGAAGTAAAAGGAGTAAAAAAGATTGAGTAATAGTAAGAACACAGTGGCCTCTCTTTCACACCGCACAGACCTTGACCAGGATGTCCTTGGAGTCCTTGGTGAGCCAGCGCGGATACAGTGGCACATCTGTTCTAATGGACTGAAACAGCTGCTCTTCATCCCGCCCATGGAACGGAGACTGGCCAATCAGCATCTCGTACAGCAGCACGCCGAACGACCACCAGTCCACCGAGCTGTTGTACTTCTGACCCAGCAAGATCTGCACCCAAGCAAGTCATCCCAGCTGTTAGACTTTCAAACACATGAGATGCAAAACACACTGAAACTAGATCTGATGAAAAAGCTGTATGAAATTCTGACAAAACTGATACATTTGGAATGCTACTGTTTGATACGACTTCACTTTTTACAATATATACTTTTTAGGCCAGTTCTCTACATGAAAATAAAAATTAGAGCAATACCATTGGGGTTCATGTTTTTATTTTTTATTTTATTTTATGATGATATTTTAGCTGTAGAGGGTTGAATTTTGATGTCTTTCACAACTTAAACTGGGATCCAGGTATCCATTCAAAGTTCTTCTGGGAATTTAGAATTTTAAGAAAGTCAAAACTTGAATCAATCACTTGTGTGCATTAAAGTTATGTACCTAATTTAAGAAAAACAAATGTAACTATGTAATCCAGGTCACTAGTTCCAGCAGTTTGGCTCTTTCATATGCTTTTGGTATTGGCCTTTAGCTTTTTAGACGGAAAAGTGAAAAAGATAGAATCAGCCCGTCAGCTCAAAGCGTCAAATAGTGACTCACAGGGCTCTTTCTTACAAGTACACAAAACATAACTTGTTTTTTCTGCGGAAGAAAGTAGACAATACAGTCTTTCAGAATCTGGTTTCATATTTTATATAGTGTCTTAGGAAATTATATTCTGTGGGTCTTGAAAATCAGTGAAATCATCAAAAACGGCTGGCAGCCAATGAGTTAAGATGGGGACAGCATGTTGTGGTCTGATTCATTCACAACGTTTTACTTGTATATATGTTAGTTTGTCGGGGGCGGGGCTTACAACATATTTTAACAAAGAAAAATGAAAGTTATGTACCCCACCTTTATTAGAGCCTGCTCACCTCTGGGGCGATGTAGTCCGGCGTCCCACAAAACGTAGCCGTCCTTGACTCCTCCAGCATGTTTTCCTTACACATGCCGAAGTCCGCTATCTTTATATGTCCTTCGGAGTCGAGCAGCACATTATCCAGCTTCAGATCCCTGCACAGGAGCGATAAAATTAGACACGGCCATTATCTATCCGCTTCGTATCAATTACAGCGTTGCAGAGAAACTGTACCTGTAAATGATTCCTTTAGAGTGAAGAAACTGGAGACCACAGATAATCTCAGCGCCATAGAACCTGCACGAGAACATACCCAAAAATAAGGACGATATTTGTGAAATCATAAAACATGCCGACCATTTTTTTGACAAGCTGTGTATATTTGATACATACGTGGATCTGTACAAGTCGAATTTATGGCAGGATTGGATGTGGAACATGAGATCTCCTCCATTTAAATACTCCATGACAAAGAATAAATTCTCCTATCGACACAAACAGACTTTCAGAAATCTGCATTACATCGAAAACACCTGAATGCGTGTGCGGTTGTTTGAAAACGATTTTAAATGGAAATAAATCTCCCATAGAGTTACATCTGTCCCTGAAATTATGATATTCCAATTTTAAACAAAGCAATTGCAATTTACACAATACATTGGGTCATAACGTTTGTATTCTTGGGGAGTTACCGAGGTTTGAAAGGTGCAGTAGAGGTGTGTGAGGAATGGGTTTTCCCAGGCTAACGACAGGACCCTCCGCTCCACCATGGTGCACTCCACATCATCATCCATTAACACCACGTCTTTTTTCAGAGCCTTCACCGCAAAGTACTGCCCATTCTTCTTCAGCTCGGCTAAAAAGACCTGTAGACAACATACGATATACTTGATCATGGCCCCACACTGCAAAAAGTGATGAAAAACAAGTCAAAAATTGCTCAAATTGAGAAAAATGTATCTTGATTTTAGCAGATTTGGACTGCTGTAAAATCAAGATTTGCCGATGGGACAAGCAAAATGGTGCTGTTTTAAAAAGATACAAGAAAATTTTCTCTTGGAATGAGAAAATAAAGAAACAGCTCTATAGACTCAAAATAACACTAAAAGGCTTTGTCCTATTGGCTAATCTGGGACAGAATGTACTCAAATTAAGATAAAAACACTCAATTCCAGCAATTATTATCTCAAATTGTATCATTTTTTGCAGTGCAGTTCAGAGAGGAAAACCACAAAATAGAATCAGAGTCAGTTCCATTATTCCTAGCTGCAGTATTCAGGGAACCGGACCTTAGATCATGTATATAATGTGGACATGTGCCTTTTGTTAGCAATGAAAAGTCTATGCTCATTAATAATACAAACACGTAATTTAACTATTTCACTCATATAAGAATAAATAAGTCAAAGAAGTCAGTCAACCCAAGGGCAGCTGTGGCTACAATACATTCATCTATTAGCTTCACCCAGTGGTTTGTTTGTTGCTTTGTCTGTGTAATGTCAAGGTTGTTTTATGAATTGCTGCCTCGTGACGGTCAGGTAAATGCATTTTTTTAAACAATAAACATGTCCCATCCATAGACAGTGTATATTAACGGACAGAGTCTAACTAATGGGCCAAAAAATGTGCTCTACTGGAGCTATCCAAAATGGCCGCGAGTGGTCCCACCCACAAGAAAAGTGTGAAAAAACGCATCTGCGCATGCGTCAGCCGGCGAGAGCTCCATTCATTTGAACGAGAGACTTCAAAAATTCACAGCGAGTAAACTAGAGTGGTCCAAAAAAATTCACCCCCCTCAGCATTGACACACATGTGGAACGGAGCTTTGGGCCAAGAGCCAACTTTTGGTCCATCCTGTAAAGACGTTTTTGAGAGGTCTGCCAACGCTATATGTTAGCATTGGATAATTCTTCTCCTGGATCCACCCCCATCGGCCCGGGGTGGTATTGCAAGCATGTCAGCGCACGTCATTTTGGCCACTTTTGAGCTGGGACCCTCCCCCACTGGTCCCATCCTTACTAAAACTATAATGAATATATTTATATATTTTTAAACAGGGGACGTTCTAAGGAAATAAAACTACATACATTGGCCACAAGTATGTGTACGTAAAAAGCCACTTATAGTCCAGCAGGTTTTGTAGTACATGGAAACTCAGGAACCCCAGCTTTAATTACCTTTCCAAAACTGCCCTTCCCGAGCATCTTGTGCAATATAAAGTCCTCCACAGTGAATTTGGTCGTGTGGTCTTTCTTGGGAACAGCGTAGAGAGGTTCCTCATGTTCTTCTTGCGTGGGTCCCTCCCAGGACACACCTTGCTGCTCTGTGGCAGCTTTGACACAGACACGTTTCATTACAATTCACCCAAAAAAATCTAAACTCTAAATATGTATTGTCCTACCTTTGTTAGGAATAGCGACTGCTGGTAACCCCATAATAATCCCTGATGGAGCTCGGACCTTTCCCGGTTGATCGATGCCCACGGGACCCTCTCGACCGATGAAAACTGAGTCCTTGGAGGTCTTGGCTTGCTACAAACGTTAAAACAAAGTCAATGGAAACGATCACAAACAGTCAAATGGGGATTGAATCTCACCTGCTGCTTAGTTTCTATTATAGCCAGTGCTTCTGCCATTAGTTTCTGGTTGACTCCACAGAGGTTGGCTACTTTATTTTGGCATTTGTGATGGACGTTCATGCTGCATTCTACAAAGGAAACACATTTTAATACACACACTTTCACACTTTTGGGTTTGAACTCATAAAGAGGTGAAATGGAACATAAATCTTTATATTCATCAGAAGAGTCTTCCTTTCCAGTCTATTTCCTAAGTATTTTGAACTAACACTTTGGTTATTAGGTTCAATATTTCCAAGAATAACTAATAAATACTGTCAAATATAGCTGTTAATGCACACTTCTGATGTTGGCATTGGCAAATCTGGTTTTAAGACTGATAAAAACTTCATTACAACATTCCTTACCAACTTTTGTAGTTTGTGAGGTGTGTAGTAGGAGTACAGACACTTAAATTTATAAAAAAGACTCCCACGTACTGTCTCACTTTTAAAACATTTTGGTCTTTAAACGTGCTTGGATTTGCGTCGTGGTGTAAAACAACTAAAGGCTATTGATGAGGTCTGTATAATTATTCACGAGTTTCTCCCGGCCGCATTCAAAGCCCTGGTTTTAAAAGATGACTATATTTGTGCAAATGGTGAATTGTGGAAGTTCCCTCTCACCCTCACATTTGAGCCCCTGCCTGGCCAGCCCCCACAGCAGCGTGCCACAGTGTTCGCAGAAGGTGGGGCTCTTGTAGTTGTACACTTTGAACCTGTGCGGCATGTCGATCTTAAAACGCTCCTTGTGAATCTGCGAAGAGACAGTTTAAATGCATTCATGAAGTAACTCTATATGACCGTCTAATAATCTATTTATATTTACAAACTGGAAACATACAGATACACATACGGTCATTTTATATATATATATGAATTTAAAATGTGTGTCGTATTTATTTTGCTGTTTTTTAAGGGAAATATGTGTACACAGGTTTGAAAAAAGAATCTAGCTATTGTGCGTATTTGTGTATTACATTTTACGTGTACTTTAAACGCTAATAAGGCCATTTTAAAAACCTGCTGGCACTACACCTCTGCTCAGGAACTACAGATGAAAATGAGTTCCCTAATATGTCCCTATTAAATAAATAAATGAATGATTAAATAAATAAACAAATACGATTGAGTTTTGTCACTTAAAGTCCAGCATTTTACTGCATAGCTCAGGCTGCTATATGTGCTCACATCTGGGTTTGTCTCAGGTCACACGTTTTGATGGACAATGAATTGCTATAGATACATTTTGCACCGACACAATTACAATGTAGCAGGATAGTTTTCAGGCAGAAAAAATGACAAAATTAAGCCATAATTAGCCATAAAAGTGACTTATTCTACCCTCTACACCTAACACTATAATGAGATACAAAGAGAATAGCAGAGATCTGTGCAGACTATATATGTGGAGCTCAAAGGACATAACAAGATGGAATATAATGTTTAAAAACCAGAGTGATAAAAAGGGACAAAAGCTGTTTATAAATGTGCATTATTAGTTGCAAAGAGGCAGGTACTGTAGGTATTTTGCCCTAAAAATCCTGTGTCAGACTTACCATTGTTTCTTTACTATTAATTGCTGACCCGGTGCATGTGGCAATAACTTTGTCGATGCATTTTTTGTGGATTGCTGCGTTGCACTCTATAAATGACACATTAGAGTTAGAAAGTAGTGAAACCCGCCCACGCAGATTTCACACTTACGCCTGCATTGGTAGCCCTGCTTGTTGAGCCCCCTGCATAGGAAAAAGAGAAGTCTGAAGTGTGAAGATACTATTAGCATCATGAGTAATTCTCTAGTGTGTATTTCTTACCACACAAACTCTTTACAAACGGAGCAGAAGGTGGGCTGGGGGAAAAAGGTAGCGCTGAACTCGTGACACTTGACCAGGTGGATTTTGGCCTGTTTGATGGCTCCTCTCCTCTGGTGCAGTGAGAACAGTCCCTCAGTGTCAGGCTCAGCACCAGCACTGGCAGCGTCTGGGAAGGAGGACAAGTCTGCGGGTTATTAATATACTAGGGACGCACGGTAACGAATTAGAATTGCGTTAAATTAAGTTGTGGGTAAACATCACAATTTCAATGCAATTCATTCTTGAAATGCCCTAAATCACAGCAGAAGTTATCTCAGAGGACTTTACAAAACAGTTAAGTACGCCAACACAGATCAGAGAATCAAAACAGTTAAACCCTAAGAATAGAAAACACATGGCTTTTGGTTCATAGGGGGAGTTGACCTATATCCATAAGTGCTGTTGAATGCTGAGTTTATACACAGTTAATTTGAGCACTGCATAATATTTGGATTCCTTGACCTATAACCAGGGAGAACCTCCACAGACACAGGGAGAACATGCAAACTCCACTCAGAAAGTCCCCATGCCACCTCAGAGTTCAACTCAGGACTTTGGAGAACACAAGGCACTCCACCATTCTTGATTTATTTCTAGTTATTCTCGTCTATTCAGTGTATTTCCTAAAACTTGAATGTTATTTAACCTTAGTATAATATTTTTGTGCAATATTTTTTGCTCCTCACAAATTCCTTATAAAATGTGTCTTTCTTTTTACATGCATTATGTATTCCACTTGTTCTGCCATTGATTTTTCACATCCTTTATTTAATATGAACAGAAGCCCACGCGTTTCGACACGCACAGGTCTTTTCCTCAGGGCAATTGCACTCGCTTGCACCTGTCTTCAATAAATCTTACACAATAAAAAGCTGCAAATATTGGGAAATAAGTTGGATTGTTCTTCTTAAAAAAACAACTATAAGTGGATAAAAGTTACAACAGAGAATGCAGTTTGCAGGAGGGGGTTCCAATAGTGACACTAATGATAACAACTGTTATTAGCAGCAACGGATAAAGCGATGATGGATGGACACTGACAGAATGAGGAATTGAACATTGTGAAGCTTTGTTAGAATGACTCCATATTATGAAATTATTACCACAATATGTGAGTAGTGTTCTTTGTACAGTATGCTGCTACCAGACCATCTTTTATTGTAGAATAACTGTATCTTAATGACTTTTTAAAATTTTATTTTCAGAAATCCTCAATAGTACTTAATTTCTCATTCTCACAATCATATTTAAACTTGAATAATTGATTAAACATTGATTGAATAAACAGTTATCACCCAGACAGTAATTCTGTCAGATGTACTGTATATCTACCACAGGCACAGGCAGGATTGAAATGTGTTTTTTCCTGTGTATAACTGTTACCACTTATAATTAGAGTGACTCCATCAGCACAGGGCATGACTGCGAAGTGTGTTGTTTATATTCACTGCAGTTTAGCACCCTGGGTTGCTTCTGTATGAATAGTGCTTTAAAAATAACTGCCTTGCCTTTAGAAACAGATAAAGTTTACCTGAATGAGGGTTTTTCCGAGATAATTTATCATTTACATTGACTTTGTCCTCAGGAAGCACATATATAAAAACATGACAGATTATAGAAAAACAGACAGATGGACGATAAGTACTGCTTGTTAATATAATTCTCCCAACATTAGAAAAAACACTTCTGCTATCTGCTTATAAAAATACACCAGTACAATATTTCACAACTTATAGCGGAAACTATTAAAACAGATTAGAGACTGAAAAACTCACCACATTTTTCGAGAAAGTACCTGGCCTCCATCCGCACTCGTCCCTGCGGCTTGAGCTCCAGCTGAAATGAGACAAACGCCAAACTTTAACATTCACGCTTGTCCGTCACAGGCAGCTTTAATCTGCTCAAATATACATGATGTGAAAATCAGGAGGAAGTAATGCACAAATGCATATAATAAGGACAAAACAGGCAGCACTAGGCTCTCTATAAAAAGTATCGCTAATGGCAGCGACGATTTACAGCCCAAAGAAGATTAGTAACTTCTATATTTGCTCTTTTGACCCCGAAATCTCCATCTGGGCTTGAGAACAGCGTCCATTAGCAGCCGGAGCACATACAGTATTATTCAGACTGACCCACATCTCCAGTTTGCCGCTCTCCTTCTTGCAGCGTGTGGCCAGTGTGTCCAGAGCCACCGTGGCCTCGGACTTGAGCTCCGCGGTCCGGTCTTTGACTATGACGTGCATGACGCGCCCCCGGTGGACGTGGGCGTCGAAGGTGGTGCTCCAGGGAGGATACATGGTGGGCTTCTTCTGCTTGTACACCTGGCCTTTGTCTGAAGAAAAGAAAATGACATCACCAGTATTGAAAAAGCTCACGTTTAAAAACATTTGTGACAGATTTGACGACTTTAAAATGTGAGTTTTTGTTTATGCTTCGTATACGTTTAAATGGTTGTGTTATGAACCGTGTTGAGAACTCATAAAACATTTGTGTTCCTCTATCTGAGATTAATATGTATTTGTAAAATTTGCTTGATTTTTTTAACACCTTTTACATGATTTTTTAAAATTGTGAAGCGCTTTGTGATCCTGGTCTGTGAAAGGCGCAATACAAATAAACTTTACCAACTTACTTACTTACTTATTCTTCAGCCGCTGCCTCAAAACAGTGACTAAGACTTCATTTATTTTTTGCACAGAAACAGGAAAAACATTTGACTCAGACTCTTTTCCTCTGACAGTGGTTAAATCTCTTTTTTTTAGTTTTATTTAATGGCATTAAAATAGATACTACTCGGTAAAGGGATAATTGTAAGCCTTTAAAATATGTTTCTAATGGAACTTATCTGTTTTTGCAAAAAAACTATTTATACTTTGAAAAAACACATTTACTATTATGAAGCGTTATGTTCATATTTAAGAATTTGGTATTTCAAGTCTTCCGGATTTTCCATCTTGTGTGACTTGAGTTTGGTTTTGAGAATAGGGATAGGTCTGTCCTTTTGGTCTGTAAAATATGAAATTGTTCTAGTATTGAAACTTAAAAACAACAACAAATTATTAATAAATTCTTGTTTATTGTATTCATTGTATTTATTTTCTTTTCCTGGTTTTTATATTGTTCAACCCTATAATGGATCCCTCAACATTTGGTAGATCACTTTTTGAATCACAATATCTTCTTGAAGCCGGCTTGGAACTGAAATCTAACTCTTTACCATCAAACTGCATCTCAACCATTTCATATGATGAAAAAAACTAAACAAAAAACAGTTTATTTTTTAGTTTTTAGTGTGTGTTATTAGTGCTTCTACATATTAGAAATGTGTATTAGATGTGAAATGATAAAAACAACAAAGATAAGACAGAATCAAAGTACTAAAGAATAATCTGTATAATGTATTTGTTATGTTGGTGGTGTAGAAGAAATAAGAAACTTAGTAAGTCTTTAAGAACGATTTACTGCGGAGATCTCAGGAGCATGGTCATAGCATTTTCTTCCATTGCATTCCTCTCACTCTCCCTCTCACTCTGTCCTTGTCCCGCTATCACATGGTACTAGCGCCCTCTGTAGGTCAGGCGTATGACTATGTTATTACAATGCTTGTATGTAAACACAACATCTCCCCTGTTACTCATAAAAGGCAACATCTCCTATTATAGAACTTATGTAAAACAAGTGAAATATTCTCCTTATAGAACAGGCATGTCAAAGTCAAATACATCAGAGGGCCAAAAAAACAAATTTGCTGCAAGCCGAGGGCCGGACTGGTTCAATGTTTATTAACTTATTGCCTGCCAGCCCATTTCAGAACAGGTACTCCCATATTGCCAGCAGTTTCTGATGATTTTTATAGATTTTTCAAGACCCACAAAATATTGTGTACTATGACTATCTGAAATCCAAAACCAGATTCTGAAAGAATAGACTGTCTACTTTCATCAGCAAAAATAATTTTGTTTCTAGCCTGTAATCCCCAGTTGAGTAGAGGGAAGTTTTACTGAAATCACCAAAAAGCTGAGAAAAAGAGGCACAACAAGTGCATCTAGCTGTTTTCAAACCATTCAGAGAGCGCTGCTGCCACCTGCTGGCTCGATTCAATATGCTCTCAAGCTTATCCCCATACATATTAGATATAATAGACATCTGGGAACATGAAAATAGCGGAAAACGCAATTGACGTAATAGTGCGTCAATGGCAGGCAACGGACCATGTACAATTCATTTGCGGGCCGGATTTGGCCCGCGGGCCTTGACTTTGACACCTGTGTTATAGAACATGTGATTTAAGGTAGTTTTCTCATCTTTAGTAATTATAGTAATTAGCTGCTATACATTTCTCTTAACTAAAATCTGAGTATAAACTTAAAGTGAGCAGCTGAAATTACAATCTTGCATTACAATTATTAATGAACAATAGTTGTAACAAGGATGGTATACGTTTCTTTTGTTATCTTAATCTTTGAAGTTATTTCATTACAAAGTCTTTAGTCCATGCTGGTGGTTTGTGCGCTCTTTGTGGGATGGCCCGGTTTGGAACAGTCTCTGGCAAGCTAGTGTTTTGTCCAGAAGTGCTAGCTTGAGATGGTGATTCCTCCGCTCTTCCAGGGCAAAGAGAAAGACGTGTTGCATTCCACCTTTTCCCGTCACTTAAGATGAAGGTGCTGTATCCGGTTTGTTGTTGAATGTTTATAGGTCCGTGTACTGTCTCTCTCCTTTCCCAACATGAAAAGGCTTCCGTATGCGCACTTTGTCTCCCACTGCAAGTTTAGGAGGTTTAGCACCTCGCTTTTTGTCAGTGTATTTCTTACTTTTGGCTTGCTGCAGAGCGACTCTGGATCTCACTTTGTCGTAACGTCCGGTGTCATCACGTTGTGGCAGAATGTGGAGCTTGGTTCTCATAGGTCGTCCTCTGAGCAGCAGGAATGGAGACTCGTTCGTTGTAGCATGGGGTGTGGCTCTGTAGCTTTGGAGCATGGCAGTTACTGTTGGCTTCCATGGCTTTTGCACAGCCTGTGCTCCCTGGATACAGTCTTTGAGCACTCTGTTGAACCTTTCAACACTCCCATTGGCTTGAGGATGGTACACGCTTGTTCTGATGTGCTTAATTCCTCTCTCTCTCATGAAGTTTGCAAAATCACCAGATGTGAACTGTGGGCCGTTATCAGTAGTAATTGCACAAGGATTACCTTCACGCGCAAAAACAGTTGACAGGAAGGTAATGACAGTAGCTGCAGTTGCTTTTGGGGTAAAAGCTACTTCAGGCCACTTACTAAAGTAGTCCACCATAGTGATAGCAAACCTACAGTCCTGAGGTCCACGTTCGAAAGGACCGACTATGTCCACAGCCACATGCTGGAAGGGGCCTTCAGGAAACTCTACAGGTTGTAGCGGAGCAGGTGACACTTTGGCAGTCTTGTCACAGGACTGGCATACTGTACACGAGGAGAGGACACTATGAACTAAGCTGTCCATGTTTGGCCACCAGTAAAGTTCTCTGAGGCGTTGCTTCGTGCGTACAAGTCCCTGGTGTCCTTCGTGTGCAAGCTGTATTATGCGCTCTCTGAGTGAGTCGGGGACTACTAGACGAGCACCTCGGAAAACCAGTGGGGAATCTACTGCAAGCTCATGTCTGATAAGAAAGTATGGCTGTAGGTCACTGGATAATGACTTTTTGGTTTTTGGCCATTTGGACTGACTGATCTGCCTTAGCTTTGTGAGTATGGGACAGTCCTCGGCCTCTGCTTTAAAGTCAGCGAGAGGCAGTGCAGTAAGGAGCTCTGAGATTTCAGCTATCTCAACAAACAAGTCAGGTTCAGGTTCAGTCAGTGGAGTTGACTCAAGGGGAACACGTGAGAGACAATCTGCCAGCACATTTTGGTTTCCAGGGCGGTATTCAATGTCGTACTGAAAGCACATTAGCCTGGCTGACCATCTGGCAACTCTCATCCCTGCTCTATTCATACCTTTGGTGTTGAGGAGCGTAGTCAGGGCCTGATGATCTGTGCGGAGTGTGAATCTGCGTCCCCAGACGTATGTCCTCCATCTCTCGACAGCCCACACGCATGCGAGGGCCTCCTTTTCCGTAGTGGAGTACTTCCTCTCAGCAGGCGTCAGTGTGCGTGAAGCAAAAGCCACGATGCGCTCTGTATTGTCTGAGTGAATCTGCGTCAGGACAGCTCCTAAGCCATAGTCAGAAGCATCTGTTGTGATGACAGCTGACAGTTTTGGATTGAACATGGCAAGAGCAGGACTGTCCAGTAGTTGCCGTTTCAGCTTTGTGAAGCATTCATTCGCAACATTGTCCCAGTGTAGTTTAGCCTGCGGGCTAGTCTTGAGCAGTAGTCGCAGGGGTTCAACAAGTGTAGCATAGTTAGGGACAAACTTGCTAAACCATGAAGTCAGACCTAAGAATGAGCGCAGCGCTGGCATGTTTCTTGGTGCAGGTGCTTCAGCGATAGCAGTAAGGTGGTCTGTGCTCGGGCGCAAGCCTTCTTTGGAAATGACATGGCCCAGGAATGTAATCTGTGTTTTTGCGAAGGCGCTCTTCCCAAAGTTGATCTGTAGGCTGGCCTCACTTAGGCGGTTGAGGACTGCTTGTAGGCGCAGATCGTGTTCCTCTCTTGAAGCTCCATAGATAATGATGTCGTCCAGGTAGTTCTGTACACCCGGTAAGTCCTTCAGTATTGTCTCCATCATTTTTTGGAATGCAGATGGAGCGGAAGCAAGGCCAAAGGGGACTCGAGTGAACTGGAATAAGCCGTCATGGGTTATAAAGGCAGTCAGTTTGCGGCTCTCTGGGTGTAGAGGCAACTGGTGGTAGGCTGAGCTTAAATCGATCTGGCTGTAGTATGTAGCACCAGACAGTTCAGCGAACAGGTCCTCCATGTGAGGAAGCGGGTAGCAGTCCATGACGACACTTTTATTTGGTTCACGCAAGTCGACACATAGGCGCAGAGCCCCTTGGCGTTTTCTTCCCGCCACCAGGGGACTCACCCATTCAGATGCATCAATTCTTTCAATGATGCCTGCTTGGAGTAGTCGGGTAAGTTCTGTAGAGACCTCTTTGCGTATACTGAGCGGCAAACGTCGTAGTTTTTGGCGCACTGGACGCACTGCATTGTTGACTTGTACTTTATGAATAAATCCTTTGACACACCCGAGTGTTTGAACTGGAGTAGAGTCAATGTTGTGCACTGCACCTTCGGGCTCCCCAGCAGGTGGCGTGTTTGCACAGTCCGTGTTGAGGATCACTTTGCCGTCAATGATGCTGACCCCCAGGGCTTTAATCAAATCCAAGCCCAGCAGGGGAGATCCGGCTTCCACAATGTAGAAAGTTGCTGGCACAGTACTGTCTTGTTCAGTAGTTGTAGTTTCTGCACGGAGACAACCAAGTACAGGTAAGTGGCCCTTGGAATAAGTAACAAGCCTAGCTTTTGGCTCTTCGAGTGTGCAGCGTCCAAAATATTTTCTGTATATGGACTCTGGCAGTATGGACACAGCAGCTCCGGTATCCACTATTAACTCAAGTGAATGTCCATTTCCTTTTGGTGCTTCAATATTTACTGTGCAGGTTAATTTATCAAATGCTGCTGCGGCTAGTTTTACATCATCAATCCGGAGGATAGCGAGTTCTGGCACAACAACATCTTGTATTTCATTCACTGTTTTGGTACTTGATCTGCATACCTTGGCAAAATGTCCCTTTTTCCCGCAAGAATTGCATTGTACTGAAGCGGCGGGGCAGGTTCTGTCACTAGCCAAGTGTTTGTTCGATCCACATCTGAAACATTTGCGTTGACTACTGGCATTGGAAACCTGCCTGGTACGGTCATGTGCAGAAGTCTTGGCGGGATTGGTGTCTCTCCTGCCGCGAATAAATGAGCGGGACGCTCCGACTGCCTGTATTGGCGCAGCGGGGACGTGTCTGTTAGCGGTCAACAGTGTGGCATTTTTTACTGCTGCCTCCACTTGTGTAGCAACTGTTACTGCTTTATCTAAAGTCAGATTGTCCTCCAGAAGCAGTTTATCACGCACTGCACTGAGGTATGTATTAGAAATGAGTTGATTGCGTATCATCTCCCCCTCCATTGTACCAAATGCACATGACGCAGCCAGGTCCCTTAGCGCGGCTACGTACTGTATTGCTGTCTCGTCCGAGCGCTGAACACGTTGTCTGAACGTGTGTCTGCATGCTACGACGTTGACTTTAGGCACGAAGTGTTTCTCCAGCGCAGCCATTGCAGAATCCATAGAATCACCTTGGTCCGGTGAAGTGTAAAAAAGGCGTTGTCCCTCTGGTCCAAGGCAGTGTAGTAGCACGGCTCTTTTCCTAGCATCAGGCCATGCATCTCCTGTAGCATTGATGACTAGCATATAATTCTCGAACATCCTCCGCCATGTAGCAAAAGGTATAGGCGGCTCACCAACGTGTGAAAGAAAAGACGGTGGGCACGGTACAGATGCACTCATCCTCGTCGCCAATTTGTTATGTTGGTGGTGTAGAAGAAATAAGAAACTTAGTAAGTCTTTAAGAACGATTTACTGCGGAGATCTCAGGAGCATGGTCATAGCATTTTCTTCCATTGCATTCCTCTCACTCTCCCTCTCACTCTGTCCTTGTCCCGCTATCACATGGTACTAGCGCCCTCTGTAGGTCAGGCGTATGACTATGTTATTACAATGCTTGTATGTAAACACAACAGTATTGCTTTTGCGTAAGATCCGACCCTTGTCATGACAATGCTATAAAAACCAGGGAAATCCTTTGCATTAATCCAAATAATACCATCAGGACAATGAAACAAGATTTTTATCCTTGATGCCTGTGAACATAATCTGTCTGAAGATTAGGTGGGTCTTTTGATAGAACATGTGGCTCGATCTTGGTCTTGGAATACAGGAAGTACAGTATTACAGACACTCAGAGACCGCGTTGTACCAGACACATTTTCATTTCGCTTCTGCTAGATATAGGTCAAATGTCTCGAACACGATATTCTCACATTAACAAACTTGCTCATAAGTGACAGCTGCTCTTTTCTCTCAGCGATGACATCCCTAATACCTTATGCAACACCCACATGTCTGACAGCTTCAACAATAAAGCCACTAAGCTCTTGACTTCCTCCATCAGATCCACCAGCTGCTTTCTATACTCTACTCTACTGATCAAAACGCTGCTGAAAATACACAAAAATACAAAGTCCTCTCTATGCACCAAGTATTATATTGTTGCAGAAAATGTGATGGGCACGAAGTGGTTAAAAATGTGCCTCAGTTTACATACAGATGACCACTCACTTTGCACTGACTTCCCAAGCTCTATAGAAGAATTATGAAGCATTGTTTTTGGCCATTAAACGATATAATACGACTATTTACTATCATTTCATGATATTCTTTCATGTGATAGTATATGCTATCCCAATGCTACCCAAAAAAAAAACAACAAAACAACTGCAAACACAACCATGTAATAACCCTAACTGCCAAAACTTATTTTAAAAGGGAGAAAACTGGTGTGAGTATGATGTCATAGTGCTGGCATGTCCAAACTCAGGCCCGGGGACCAATTGCGGCCCTCACTGTCATTTTATGTGGCCCTCTGCCATGCTAACCCAAATTAGTCTTTGAGATCATACTGTAAGCACACTGTGTCATCCATCCAACTTCAGCTCAGCCAATACAGACAGGTCGTAACTCAGTTCAGTTGTTGACTTGTATTTGTACATACTGTATTTTGATTGTGTCACAAACGTTAATGGTTCTACTTCTACTGTCAATGGGAAGATGGAATACGTGTGTCATTCAGCCAACTTCAGCTCTGTTATAGATCATTTTAAAGCTCAGCCCGATGCCAGTCAAGACAGTTTGTGATGTCGGCCGCTGGAGTCTGAGTCTGAACTAAAGTGGGCCTCTGACTATAATGTTTGGACACCCCTGACTAGTGGTATAATGACATCATACTATTACAGGACTGAGACAGGAGCTCAACCTGTCTGAAAACAACCTCAGGACTACAATGTGCCACTTGCAAATGTGATGCGAGATCTTGTTTGACCTCTGAAGCTAAGCAGGACATAACCTAGTTAGTACTGTGATGGGAGACCTCTATGAACACCAGCTGCCACAGTGGGGCGGCTGCGGCTGAAAAGAGTAAAACTTTTGTTTGTTTGTTTGACGCAAAACACTTCAACCACATTGCCTCAGGGCAACTGTGGCTACAGTATAAGCGAATGATCACTGTGTACCAAGTGAAAGAATAATGCCATGAGAAGCCTCTTTGAGTGTCCAAAAAACACTGTATTAAAATGTGAGCATTACGTTGTAACATGGTAAAATCTAAAATAAGGTAAATTTACACATGATGTCTCATTTCTTCCACAAGCTGATATCAGTTTAAACAAAGCATTGTCAGCACTTGTATTGAAACTGTTTTTGTTGATCGTCTTAGTGAAACAAATCTGAATCAGATGATAAATCCAGCCGTGAAGACATCACATTGTCAAACAAACACATTCTCACTCCTGTTGTGCAGGTTTGAAATAAATCGAAACTATTCACTTTCTCCAAAAGAAAAAAATACGACTCATTTGCATGTTTTTCACAGTTCTATATAATCAAGAATGTTGTCCTCATTTTGGTCCATCAGGACTTTTCTTGTTTTTATTTTACATATTTAATGACAAACATAATTAAGGATACAATATAAATATGAAGAATGAATAATCTATTAAATTAGAGCTGGAATGATTTGATTAATAACAACTAACTAAATATTTTTTTCATTTCATTGAGATCTATTTTAGTAATACATACATTATTAACTGCTCTGTTTGTAGACTCCAACACACATATACACATATAAGCTGTGACATGGGAATTTAAATCTCAAATGGAGCAGTAACTACAACAGCCATATCGTGTTTCATAATAATACTAATACTAATACTAATACTAATACTAATACTAATACTAATTCTAATAATAATACATCTTTATTCCAGACTCAAAGTCCATGTAAAAGACATTACAAAGACACCACACACAAGACAAGACCACCACAAAAAAGAAAATAATTACAAATATTTATAATGTGTTTTTACTGCAAATGGCAAATACATCTGAATCTATTTTCAATGATAAAGTGGGGATCTGTTACAGTGTCCTTTGCTTTTCATCCGGTGGTCAGGGTCGAATTTAATTAAAATCACATTAGCATTCTTAGCACTTGCTATTATACATTACCAAAATAATGAAAATAATCATTAGTTACAATCCTATACAATAATGATTTAATAATCTCCTAACTGAAGGTATTTATGCCAGAAGTCAAAATGAGAAGAGGCGATGTGATTCTATGCAAAGTATCAGTGTAATGGGAACAAGTCAATGCGTCTGTGGAACAGTCTGCACTAAACGTCATGTGGTTTCACAAAAGGGGAAAACAATCTCAATTCAGAAACGTCCTCTTTCCTCTGCTCTGTTTTTAGCTCCATGTCACGTATACTCACAGTCTACAATGGATCCACTACAGAAATAACCTCTGAATGACATGTAATCTTTGTGAATTTCCGCTCAATGGTCCTATTAATACTACTGTTATTTCACACACTAATGAATACTGGTTTAATCTATGATTACATTCGGAACTGTCAGCAAAAAACTAAACTCATTTTCAACTGTGCCTTACAAATGAGCAGAGAAAATGTTGTGTTTCTGGGGTTGAAGCTTTTAAGAACTGTGTCAGAGTTACTCAGCAAAACACCTCCTTACACCGCGTCAGTTCCCAAACAAGTCGACGACAGCAGTAATGAGGAGTTACTTTCAGTTCAGCTTCTAATGAAGGCTTTAGTTTAGGTCTGTGGTTCACAAAGTGGGGGTCGCCGGCCACAAGCTGGGAGTCGCACGATAAAATAGCACAATAAATAAATGACTAAAAAAACAACAACATTTCCATTTTAATACCTTGTTTGCTTCTCTTGTTTTGCTAAGCGATTTCAGTTTCCTTGCGTATGAACTGAGCTATACAAATAAACTTGCCTTGCCTATAATAAATTGTTTACATTTGTAAAGTTGTGGCCCTACACAGCATCAATGCACAGGCTTTTAAGTTTGATCTAAACACAACACTAGTATCATGAACCGACCGATACTGACGGGGATTCTTCTTACCAATGATCAACCACAAACACTTATTGCAAGGGTTTGTGGTGCAAGATAACGCATATTGCAAGTACATCATTTCTAACTCTGAAGCAGAATATTTTTTTATATCCAAAATAATAGTAAAAAGGCACTCTCCATGCATTCACACATAACTATGAAAAAGTGCATGTGAACTTGTGTAAATGCCCCTAATGACTAGTGGGGACTTTTTATAGATAGATAGACAGAGAGATTTTTGATTGTTAGTAAGATTTTTACATGCATGCCTTCAAATATTTTGTATCACTTGTATTAAATGCTAGCACCATATAACAAAGCTAAAACCTAGCTTGTGATTTCCTGTTACTCTGGAAATACAAATAATTCTGACTCCTACAAGAAAAGGCGAAGCTATAAAATGAGGTATAACATGTGTATATCGGGAATAGAGCATTGGAGTTTGTGAACGTTTTACTAAATGAGTTGGTGGCAGTAACATCCAAGGATAAAAAATAAAGAATGAATCGTTGTTTCCTATTTTATATTATTTTTAGCTTTTTAGAATGATCCATTTATTTGTTTTGTTTATGTGGATGGATGTTTTTTTTCTGCTACTGGAAACCTGAATTTCTCCTATGGGGGATCAATAAAGTATCTATATATCTATCTACAGTACTTATCCTCATCAAAAGCATTAAACTCTCGTACCTGTGTCGAAGGGCTCTTTCATATAAACTGCACAGTAGGGGTTGAGCACCTCCTCGTGATAGGCCAGACCAGGATCCATCTCAAAATTGGAAAAACCTATCCTCAAAAAAGGTGACATCTTCCCAAGGTTTCGACACTGAACTAACAATGAACCAAAACACTCTCGGGGGTAATCCTTGTATCGACTTTATGCGAAAAGATGAAAATCACGCATGGCCACTTCCCGAGCCAGATCCGAATCTTCAAACGACCTGCGAAAACACAGAGACACAGACTTAAAAGAGAGAAGATATTTGATGTACTAAGCACATTTCTTAAGGCAACTTAACGTGCTTTACGAAGACAGTGTATTAAAGCAAATCACAGAGAGATAATCAAGAGGCAAGGGCTCTGCATAAGGATTAGAATCTAGAATAGAAACAGATTATAATGGAAAACCATTGTCTGGGTGTACTAGAAAAGTGATGACAGAAATTGATCTTTGCCTTACACAAGCAAGATCAGCACCCTCACACAATTAGTACTACAAATATCTCACTTTAGTTTAACAAGGCAAAGCAAATAACTTCAAGAATTAGGCTAGAAACAGGTAGTAATGTGTCACTGTGGCTACGTATAAGACTGCTGTAATAATGTTGTCATGAAACTTTTACTCTTGTCAAAAGTATCAGAAATCGGATATCAGTCAATCAGTCAATCAGTCCTGGAACTAGATATTTATTTGGGGCTGAATCGAAACTCAATTACACAAACCGGACACAACGTGACATTCTCTGAGCAACTTTTGAATCTCAAAAATCAAACAAAGTCTAAACCCTTGTGGTACTTGTTGTATAATTAGTCAAAATAATACAACTGCATGACTGCTGTATAAATATAGAGTCTGTATATTATATTATTGAATTATCTAGTCATTTTAGTTTTGTGATAACATTCATCTTTACTAAATGTAACCACATTTGACACCACAATAATGTAAATAAAGCACAATTTAATACTGTTTTGTACAGAAGATGCCCTATTCATGTTTTCTTAAATACATTCCTCCAATGAGAGCTGATTAGTATCAAGAACAACAAGCAATTAGTCTTTAACATGCAGAAGAGATAAAAAAAAAGTGTGAAGTTTTTTAAGTCACTTTTAAGTGAAGTTAGAAAGTTATAGTCATACTTTCCATTCAAACTGCTCAATCCGCTGAAATAATTGATCTCTCCCACCTCTACATTCTCTTAAAAAATCCTTCAATGAAAAACCAATCCAACTCACCACAAGCAGAACAGCAGTGCCCCACAGCAGCTGTTAAATAAAACACTAATAAAGCCGCTCTTTTTGAACAACAGCTTTTCTAAACCTCTCTGCAGTATGTGTCTCTGAAACGTGAACCGCCTCTCGCTCCCTGTGCGCACATGTCAGCTAGTGGTGGGGCTGGGCATCTATTCTTAGAACTGAAATACTAAACTTTGATCGGTAATATTTGACCACAAGTGCCTGCTCTGCTCACTGTAATGCCCAAGGAGCGCTACACAAAGGAAGCAGAAGTGTGTTTAGTGATGCATGTTTTTAAAGTATAATAATGCATAATTACTTCAATACAAATTACAACAAAGATGAATTGTCCTTAGTATGTAGAATGTACAGTATGTAAGTATGTAGGTATGTATGTAACTATGTATGTGTATATCTAGCTATCTACTGTATGTATGTATTTATGTATGTATGTGTAAGTCTGTGTCTGTTTGTCAATCTATCTATCTACTGTATGTATGTGTATGTATGTATGTATGTGTATATCTATCTATCTACTTTTATGTATGTTTTTATGTATGTATGTGTACATCTATGTCTGTTTGTCTATTTATCTATCTATCTATCTGTATGTATATATATGTAAGTCTGTGTCTGTGTGTCTATCTATCTATCTACTGTATGTATGTATATGTATGTATGTGTATATCTATGTCTGTCTGTCTGTCTATCTATCTACTGTATGTTTTTGTATATGTATGTATGTATATATCTATGTCTGTCTGTCTGTCTGTCTATCGTTCTATCTACTGTATGTATGTATGTATGTATGTGTATATGTCTGTCTGTCTGTCTATCTATCTATTTACTGCAACTATCTTTCAATCAATCTATTTATCTAGAAAACACGTCATGGGGTAGCCATGAAGTTTGTTTCATGGCTACCCCCAGACACAATCTACTGTATCTGAAAACATAAAGTCTAAACTTCCTCATGAGACATACAGTACACATCATTCACCAAAATAATTGTGAGTGATAACTGTGTCTGAGGAACTGAATTGAACATATTTTATGATTATATGTCAACTTCTATATCTCGCCTTTAACCTTTACTGTCATGTGCCTACAGAAAGTACAAATGCATGCTCGAAATGCATCTGCACTTTTTCAAGCTTGAAGAAAACTGTTTTGCAGAGTGACACCTTTCTACTAAACTTCAACGCTGTAACCACATTTCCTGTCTTTTGGAGGCCAATGTTCCGGTGTGCGTTAGTTGGCATACAGCAGAAGTGCAGCAGCAACATAAAATTCTAAGATCTAAATTAGAAGAAGGATTTCACATTTATGATAGATTATAAGCAAAGGTGTTGTACAAGTGCCTTTCCCAAATGCACAAAGCTATCGAATGGATCAACAAACTCCTCAGGTGGTCACTGCAGTCCACTGCCAACTTTCATTTGTGCAGCTGTAGTCTGAACATAAGTGGATTAGGCCGACACAGGGGTCATTGTGGTGGTCAAACATTCAGAGTACAAAGATTCTTGAGCTGAACATTGCAAGGGCAGATTTTCACAGCAGTTGGTGGAACCGGCTTATATATGCAATAACTGTTTTTACTGAGCTACACTTACACACTGAGAGCAGACTTTAGATCTACTTTAAGCTTCCATGACTTAAAAGTGGAATATGCTTTTTCATGTTTATGAGTAGAGACCACATACTGGCATCTGAGCTGGGTCCCCTCCTCCTCACCTATTCCACCACTCCCATCCTAATTCTAACGTCACAGGACCTTTGGGAGACCTTTAGAGCAACGCCCACCTCACCTTTCACATCAAGTTCAATCAAAACCGTGTGTTTTTGAAGTACCAAGTGAGGTCTGGAGTGCACTGAGGGCTTTGTTGTTATTGACAGGGGATGTGCCTGAGACAAGTCTATTACTATGAGTGTCTTTTAGAGGAACAAAACACTCCAAAGCAACACAAGATAATTTAAAGAATAGACAACATACAAGCTTAGTGAAGGAAATGACCAAAACAAGATATGAAAAGTTAATTTGAAAAAATAGACCATTAGAATGTGCCATTTGAAACATGTTTTATGTAAAGCAAAATCTATTCTAGTGCCACACAAATACATGATTATTCCTTCTTGAGAAAATCCTTTAAAGTTTACTGCCAATATCAAATAAAAATACTTTTTTTTAATGTTAGAAGTATAATTTGTTTTAATATTTTCCAGTAATATATATCTATGTAGTAAAATGAATACACACCTCCATATAAACTGTATGAAAAAATAGACCCACTACACAACTACTACTACTACAATGTACACAATGCAGAACTGATCAAAACTTGAACTTGTGAACACTTCTATGTTTCACTTCTATGTTTTATTCTAATATTTACTGCTAAGTTGCCTGGTAAGCAAACATGCAGTTAAGCATCACTAAAATACTCAAATACCACCAAAAGACAAAAAAAAGTACATTGTATATAAATCAGCAGAGTGAGTGTTCTTACCATTAACTGTAATAATTGAGTTCTTCCCTGGGACAGCAGAACTCCTCATCTCTCCATCCAAACCATGATCCAAACACACTGCACTGAGCTGTCAGCGTGTAGAAAAAGTCTACGTTAGCACCACGTACGGGGCGTTCAAAGCCGCTCGGACACTCCCCCTTTTTACTACTACAGCAGGCGTGAAGTCTGAGTTGAGTGCCTTGAGTATTCGTGTCGTAAGCCAAACTTTGACAATTTACATTCCATATTGCTCTACAGGATACATTAAATCAGTTTGAAACAGCAACCTTTCCAATAGTTAAGTGTCACGTCCGCTAACAGTGAAAGACAGTGTGGACGAGTACTGTCATTTCTATTTGGTCCAGCAGGAGGCGCCACTAAAGGCTTTTGTGCATCACGAAGTAACAGTATGGGGAAATGTGGCACTTAGAAGACATGTATTGAAATGTGCCTTTTCTTTGTTTGTTTGTTTTTTAAATTCGATGTTATATTAAGTCAATTCTATTATATTGTAGTTTACTAGTTTATTTTTCTTATCCATGATGCATTATTTTCCCCTCACACTGAAGTGGTATTTGTTTCTCCATGACTCAGAGAACGTCACTTGACATGACACAAGCGTTTGCTATCTTTGTCTTTCCCTTTTATGCAGAAATCAAATTAATTATAACTGTGTGTTGCATCATGGAAACAACTCAGAAACAAAAAAAGAGATGAATTTCCTCATTCTCCCTTAGAGATAGGAGGAGGAGCTCAGAGTAGAGCTGCTACTTCTTAATCCATGTGGAGGTGGGAGGAGGTGTTTTGGATGCCGACTGATGTCTCTGTTCTTGTCATATCCCACCAGGAGAAGGGGGAGACTGAGGACATGACTACACTTTAAACTCAAGACAAAAAAAGACATTTGTGTTTTATAGAATGGGTTTCAGTTACACACTCAGTGATATTATTTGTATTTACTTTAGTGTTCTTTGTCACTCTATGTTTCAATATAGTTTCACAGCAGATAATTCTGTGAGCATAGGAGCCTGTGAAAAGGTATTCTTTTTTACTGAGCATTGATACGGGACTCAGGGATGGAGCTTGTACTCTTTTTTACTCGGGTTTCCATGGATACCAGCCCATCAGCCAACCAGCTGCTACATGACCCCCCTCCTCTCTCTATCTCTCTTCTCCTCTTCTCCTCTTCTGCACACTCTCTTTTCACCACAATCATACCGCCCAGGTCACAGTTATATATTCTTTATTACAACTGTAGTATAGCCGTAGCACAGAAAAAAAAAAAATTAAAACACACTCACATTTGACATTTGAAGGCATATTTGGTTATATTTTCAATCTTGGCCAAGGCCCCAGAACCTCCAGCGTGGTTAGGACAGTTTATTATTTTATGATAGTGATTATTCTATTTGACCTTGTCCACATGTGATTATTAAAGATGATTAATTCTATGTTATGGATTGGTTAATTAATTTAGATTCATGTGCCCAGGGTAAATATTGCTTAACTTTGATTTTGCATCAGATTACGGTAAAAATGTTGAGGGAAAAATAGGATATGAGTCAGACCTAGAGACATTTGTGTCTGGTGAATAATGAGAGGAAAAGGTGATGTTCTTATCGAGAATCGAGATGTATATGGCCAGATGCTGCAGGCCAATTTAACTGTGTACTTCTGTCAATTAGACATGATAAAAATACAATCAAGTATTGTAATAATTGAGATTTTTGTCAGACATTGCTAATTTGTTGACACCTTATTTATTTTACTCAGTACTGTTTGTTTCTTTCTTTCCGTCAACAATAAATGTAAAACTTGCCTCATGTTTTGAGTGTTATTTGCAAAACAAACAAAAACTCACACCTCTCAAAATGAGCTGCAGCAGGAGTGGTTTCTACTTGGTTGTGGAGGCATCTGTGAGCCGCAGGATGAGACAAACTGGTCACAACTCAAGAAAATCTCACTTTGTTGAGGATGAATGAAGCCTCTGCTGCAGCTCACTGGGCTACAGCTGTGTGACCTACTTTCAGTGCAGCACAGGAGGAGAGGCTCATTGTTCACCTCTATCTGCCTACATCATGCTGGGCAAAGGCAGGGTCACACGTACACCTTACACTACTGAACCCAGATTGATCTTTAGAATCAGAATCAGAATCAGAATTTCATATTAAGCAGGTTAGAATAAACACCTACAGTGAGGAATAGAGTTTTATAGCTAGTTATCTTGAATCACAGAACAAATAAACTACTTCAGGCATATATTTAAAAAAAATCTGTTGGTAGTTATGTGTCTGACCAATCTTTTGGTTAAAACAACCAATCCATAAATGTTTGTGTTTTCAACCAATCTATATTGGCCAAATTATTCTCACCATATAACCATAGTTGACACCAACCGTTCACGCACACATAAGGCAAGTGTCTTGCCTGAAGCACAAGAATAGTTTAGCACTTTGCCGCTGCCCCACTGTGGCAGCTGGTGTTCCCAGAAGTCTCCCTTCACAATACTAACCAGCAACTGCCATGCTCAGCGTTTTAGCTCTGACACGCATACGTAGGCGGTGTTACATTAGAGATATGTTGTGTAATATTGGTATAGTGCCAAAACAATACACATGCAATATATCGTTTTTTTTAAACTGGTTCACCGACAACCAACAGATTGGTAAATTTATCTCGTCTTAAACAATTGGAGGTGGTTCTTTCTAACCAATGTGTTTTTAGAGTATACAGCATGTATTTTCTTTAGCCTCTGTTGTCTCATATTTGGATCAGTTTTTTCAGACATACAAGCGAACAAGAGAGAGAACCAATTAGCTCCAATCAACTCTCAACCAAAAGTGTCAAATACCGACTCACAGGGCTTTCTTACACAAGCACACAAGCATGTTTTCCAATAAGATGAAGGCAGCATGTTGTGGTCGGATTTATGTATAAGATGTTTCTTTCACTAGACTCTTTTTGTGAAACAAATTGGTGTGGTGCAGCTTTAGGCAAGTTTTTTTTAGCAATTGATAAGAGTTCCTTTATTCATCCCACAGTGGAGAAATTTCAATACACACGAATAAAGAAGGCCTCAAAATAATAAACGATTATTTATGATAAGAATCAAGTAACATTTGCAAATGAACAGACAAGTGTGTCATTCAAACTGAGAAAAACACATGAATAGTGTTAAAACAAGACTTTTAAAACCCACAGGATGTATCTCATGTCTGTAGACCGACAGTTGTGCAGAGGTGTGATGCAGTGGCCTCGGAGCAGCGCCATCACCTCTTTAGTTCACTTGATGGATCAGTGCTTTTACAAAGACAAACAGCAGCTCTGATCAAAGACTGACCATAGCTCTGCTGTTCGCTCAATACTGTCCCAGCGTCACATCTGTTAGGCCCTCATGACAGGACTCTCAGGAACATGTGTGAACCTGTCTCCTTATTAACACGATTTCCTCTGTTCCCTGTTTCTGAGTCTTATTCTTCACCACATCAGTTTACTCACAATCCCCCCCGTAAAGCAGGTTCCCCGTTCAAGCCTAAAGTCCAGAAGCAACATTAGCTCACCACCCCATTTCTATAGGGTTTCAAAATGAATATTTTAAATGGCATCACATGCCTACATCTACTGGGAGTCTAAAATAATGTATTATTGTTTACTTCTTTACACGAGTAAAGGACAATAGATAAAAGACAAGTTATCACCATTACAGGGTCTTATCTCCCAAACACTTCAAACTTCATCAATAATCCATGTTGTTTGTTCCAACAGAAAGTCTTGTAGGAGTAAAATGTTGTGAACAAATCAGACTTCAACATGCTGTCTTTATGAGAAAACATTTTGGGGAAAGAGCTTCTGAATCTTTGTCTCTGCTGCTTGAATTGAATTGCAGTATTATCAAGCAGTATTTGTATTTCTTTATTCATTTGACAGGGACAGTACATGTCAATGAACATATATGGTTGAACGGATTCTTGACACGTCAGATTGTATTCAGGCTATTCCGCACCAGCTCCATTTGAAAATAAATCAGATCTTTTTCCCACATATAGGCCACACTTGAATATATTTATTGTTGTGAAATAACACTTAACCAACAGCTGATAAAAACAAAGCCGATAACTATTTTAACTGGTCTATAGCGTCCTTTAGCCACTTCAAAAAGTCTACAAACTCTCCTCTGACAACTGCCCTAATCGCATTCACTAGGAACTTGGAAGTCCTGAGTATTTCCTCGTGTCGGCTTTCTGCACTATTCACATAAACAACATCTTCTACATCGACTACAAAATCTATATCCGCTCTGAAAAATACATTTAATGTGCTATGTCCCTGTCAAATAAATAAATCAGAAATATACACATTTGATAAGCGCTGTGTCCAAATTGTAATCTACCACAACACAAATACATGCAGTACATTGGCCGTACGTCTTTATGGTTGAAGAGTCTGAAAATACTTGAAGAAAGAAGCAGCTCATAGTGTGGCTATTCTAAAATAATTTTTTTGATTTTTCGCATTCTGTGTTCATTGTAAATAACAATAGCATTACAATATCTGCATTTCAACTGTTGAAGAAAGGTAAACATGACAAACATGTACAAATAATTATAAATTTATTTTTCTTATCAAAAATATCTCCACACGTTTGCATAGATTGACACAAAATAGCGTACACAATTTCATTTGTGTGATTACGACACGGGCAGCGCACAAAGTTGTATCATTCTCACGTTTTCTTCCAAAAGCTGAAACACAATCTACAAAGAAGCAGTTACAATTCATTAATAATTAATCATTTAAAAGTTATCTCAAAAGATATGTCTTGGTTTATGTTACTTATATCATTCATAAATAATCCAAATATATTAACTTTTGCTTTGATAAATAAATTCCAATTTTCTGTACCAATTACACTGCACAAAAGGGACCAATGAAAGCAAAACATATTTCTACAAATATAAAGAGCAATAGAAAATATCTCATGATGTCAACTGCTCAGGGCCGTCACATACATACATTTTCTTCCCCATAATCCATTTCTGGGTCGGGGGGGTGGCAGTCAGAGCTGCACCCGGTACACAGAGCACCAGCCCCTCACTGATCCTCCTGCAGGTGGTGAGTCCACAGGAGCTGAGATCTTTCAGTGGGGGCTTTGGGCAAAGTAGGGTTAAGTGTCTTGCCCAAGGACACAACGACAGCAGTCATCAGTGGGAGTCATGAAGTAGGTCTTACGGTGGGCTCGAACCCACGACCTTCAGGCCCAAAGGCCAATGCTCTACCAACTGAGCTACTGTCGCCACAGGGTCGTCACAAAGATAAAGAAAATCACACATTTTGACCAATTTGTAACTTACGTAACTTTGAATTTCTGCTAAATTTGTTCATGTAGAAATAGTAAATGTTGTGCGATAGCTTAGTTAGCAAACTGTTTGTAAAAGGCAACTTTAACACGCTCTATGTGGTGGCATAGTTTGATGGCAGGACCCAGCTTCAGATCCATGCACTCCTGGACCGTGGGAAGGGTCAGCAGCAGAAGGGCCTGACCATCGATGTCCTACACAAAAAAGATTATTTTATTACAAATATAAACATCAAACAAATATCAGTGTTGTTTTTGTACCTGTTCAAGGAAAATAGTGGCGAGAGAAGCACAGTCTGTGGAGTTAATGAACTGAACCACTTCCTCCACCGTCCACTGCAGAGGGTTTGTCTCCAGGACCAGCTGACTCTCATCCTCCTCCGTCTACACGCAAACAAACAAGAATTATAACATTTCACATATTCACTACATAATGGTGGTAATATGAACAACAACCCCCAAAAAACACAGTTACTCATTTATGTTAATTCATGTAAATACATTTAAACATGTCTGAGCTGTGCTTTGGAAAAAAAAAAAAATCATCTTCAGCACTCGATAAATTTAGCATTTTAAGTAATGCTAAATTATAATAATAATTCCATAAATGCATTTTGTTGTTTCCAAATTGAAGGACACATTTTCTGACCAAATCGGACTTAATCTCATCAGAAAACATGTATTTTTGCATAATAATAATAATGTGAGTCATGTTATAGAAATCTTTTAGTAAAGCAATCTGAATGGCAGCAAGGTCAGCGGATAGATATGAGACGTGCTGCAACATGTCTTTGACCTCATCTGGGTCAAAAAACAAAATGCAGAAATTCCACAACAGTCACTATTTGATCAATAAAATCAATCAAATGTATTTATAAATCACAAATCATGTTACAAGCTCTTACAAGCAATTCAAAACCGATAATAACAAATCAAAACAATGCAAATACATGAAACAAATTAAAGTCATATGCATAGGTAAATAAGACAAATAATAAATAATACGTTTATAGCCTGGACGTAAACATTGCCAGGGACGAGGCCTGTACTCGACTTTTCACGTTTTTATTCTGAAAAAGCTGATAGATGTTCTAACGTCCTTCTTTGCTCTCTCTCATCTTATACTATGTATCAAATCAAGTAAAGAATAGATTCAGTTAAAGGCCTAAAAATTATCCATCTCAATATAAGAAGTCTGGTCTCTAAAATTGACCTTCTGAAAGCTTGGGTGTCATATAATAAGCCAGACATTATTACAATTTCAGAAACTTGGTTGCACAGCAATATATCAGATGACGAAATTAATATTTATGATTATGTTCTGTTCAGAGCAGATAGAGTTGCGAGAGGAGGGGGTGTGGCAACATATGTCTGTAAAAATCTTACTGCCGTATGTGTATATCCAACTGTGGAGCAAGTTAACTTTGAATCTCTGTCTATTAATATAATCTTCAGTGGCAACAAAAATATTATAATCACTAACATTTACAGACCTCCATCTGCCCCGCCAGACGCAATGAAAAATATAATGTCAACAATTACCTCTTTCCATATTAAGTCTGAGATGGTAATTCTTGGAGATTTCAATAGTAACTGGCTCCATCGCTCCTCTTCCAATGATAGAAGACTTGTTGCTAGTGCTAACCTCACTCAAATAATAAAGGAGCCTACCAGGGTCGACCACCGCTCTTCCACCCTGATAGACTGGATATTAGTTTCTAACCCAGACAGAATTGTTGCCTCGGGTGTGCTGTCCGACAGCTTCAGTGACCACTCAATGGTGTATTGCATTTGGAAGATTAGAGTGCCTAAACTCCCACCCAGATATGTTACTGTAAGACAAAGCAAAAATATTATTTCAGACCACTTCTTAAATGATCTTGCTAACATTAACTGGACAAGATTTCAGTTGATCCCTGATGTCAAGGATGCATGGGAATTCTTTCATTCAGAAATGAATGCAATTATTGATAAACATGCTCCTTTTAGAACAATTCGTGTCAAAGGAAGACATCTTCCATGGATCAGCTCTGACTTGATTAAACTATTTAAACAACGCGATCAGACCTGGGTAAAGTTCAGAGTCTCTAAAAACCCGACAGATTGGGAACGATACCGTCATCTTAGGAATCTATCCAAAACACAAACAAGGAATGCTAAATCTAATTATTATCAGGAGGCCCTAGCTCAAAACTATAACAACCCAAAACAATTCTGGAACCATCTGGACCAGCTTCTTAATAAGTCTAAAAAAAGCACTGATTATGTCACTGTTGATAACAATACAATCTCTGATCCCTGCATGATCTCTGAAGCTTTTAATAAATATTTTTCTTCCATAAGCAGTGCACAGCACTCAGATTACCCTTACTCCTCAAGCCCATCTCTTGTTGCTCATGAGGCTTCCTTCTCTTTCAGCCCAATCTTACCTTCAGATGTGCAACAATCAATACATGAACTTAAAGATAAGTGTAGTGCTGGATGAGATGGTTTAGAAGTAAAATTTTTGAAACTTGGTTGTGATGTAATAAAATACCCTCTTACTGATCTATTTAACCAGTCCTTGAACACATGCTCGATTCCTACTATTTGGAAAACTGCACGAGTAACCCCCATTTTCAAAGGAGGAGATTACACTGATTTATCCAATTACCGACCTATCTCTATCTTATGTACTATCACCAAAATCCTTGAAAAAATTATTTTTAAACAAATACACAATTACCTCAATCAGTTTGAAATCTTATCTCCGCATCAATCAGGTTTCCGCTCTGGCTACTCTACGACCACTGCATTACTCAAATTCACTAACGACGTGTTCTGCTCGTATGATCAAAACCAATATACTGGTGCCATATTCTTAGACCTTTCAAAGGCTTTTGACTTAGTAGACCACTATCTGCTCCTTGATAAACTATATTCAATAGGACTCTCTAGGAACTCTCTTTTATGGTTTAATGCTTATCTTCATAATAGGCAGCAGTTTGTAGTTTTTAAAGACGTGCAGTCCACTCTTTCTATAATGGACAAAGGAGTGCCACAGGGCTCCACTCTTGGACCCCTCTTATTTAGTATTTTTATCAATGATCTCCCTCAAGTGTGCACTAACTGTCAAACTCATCTGTATGCCGATGACGCTGTTGTCTATTTGTCGGACTCAAACTTACCCTTGTTACAACATCTTTTACAGGAGGATTTCAACTCAATTCAAAACTGGATTAATGTTAATTTGTTAAGATTGAATATGAAAAAATCGAACTATATGCTTTTTGGTACGCGTCATTCTCTCAGTTCTGCCAATATCAACATCACTTTCAATAACGGCTCCTCAATGATGAGAGAATCTTCAGTAAAATATCTAGGTGTCTGGCTAGATCCTGAACTTAATTTCAAACCACATATCGACTACATAATCAAACGCACATATGCCTGTCTAATGCCGCTTTGCCGTTCATCCAATTGTTTCACACTGCAAATAAGAAAGAAAATTATCATGCAACTAATTCTACCAATTATTGACTATGCAGACATAGTCTATCAAAACACTTATGACGTGCACCTCAAACCTCTTAATACTCTGTTTAATACCCTCTGTAGATTTATTCTTAAATGTCCCTATAGAACACACCGCTGCATATTATACAGTCAACTGAACTGGCTACAGCCCGACAAAAGACGACAGTGTCACTGGCTGCAATTCGTCTTCAAATGTGTGTATTTCAATGTACCCCCATATTTGAAATGTCTTCTAGTTCCATCAACAACAACCTACTTCCTTAGACACTCTGAATATCCTTCTTTTACTACTCCTTTGATACGGAAAGAGGTCGGTCGGAGGTCCTTCTCTTTTAAGGCTCCTAATGACTGGAACCATCTTCCCATAGCATTAAGGTCAATAACCACTTACGGACTCTTTAGAACTTCTCTGCATACACATCTCAATACGGATTGTTTATGTTTGTAGGCTCTTTTGATATACTTTGTTTGTACAACAATACTTGATCTTTAGATGACTGGGAAGGAGAGAGGGTTGTGTGAGCAAGATTGTCTTGTGTTTAATGTTTGTGTTTATTTATTTATTTCTGTTTTTCTGTATTACATTTGTTATGTTTTGTGTTATATTGTTGGTTTGTGTAACTAAGTGTTGTACATTGTTTGTATTTGTTTTATGTTTGGTCCCCCTTGCAAACGAGATGTTTCATCTCAAGGGGTTTTCCAACAATAAATTGAAATTGAAATTGAAAATGGGGAAAAATGTGACAAAATGCCTGCATGTGAAAGTGATAGAAGCAAACGGTTTAGAGGAACTCAATAGATGTATTTTATTACAAACAAGTAATGTTTAGTGGTTTCAAAGTGAGGTACTCCAGCTTTAAAAGAAATGGATGTTTATCTAATGTACTGCTGCATTCATGTGACATCACAAACTCAGAGATATCAGCGTAATCTTCAGACGTTCATGAAGCAGCTGGTGATACATGCTCTTTGCTCATTCATTAGTGAGGCTGTTGTGATAGTGAATTACAGGAGCAAATATAATAAAGTGGGATATTAAGACTATACTTAATGTCATTTAAGATGGTTTTGCGATGATAAATGAGTCAGATTTAAAATTGATCTTTGATTCTTTTACTTCACAAATGAATCATGTTAAATCCACTTTGCCTTTCTTTGTTACTCGTTACTAAAATTAAACCAGTCACACGAGTTTCCGAGGTGAGTCTCCAACCTAAGCAGCGTTCAAACCAATCACCAGCTTTAGACCTGAAACTTGAGATTTCTGAATCATAAAAGCAAACAAAGGAACAGTCAAAGCAAAGCCTGTCATGATTATCATGATTATTATCACTAAATCCACATGTCATTTAATAAATATTAGCTCTGGGCCTCTGTATTCATCCTGCACATTTTCTTGCACCTTTTTTTCTATATTTTTTTAAAAGAATATATGTTATAGTTTTTAACATCATAGTTTTTGTTTTTGCCTGAAAAATATCTTGCAACTCATATCCTCTTATCATCATGAATAAAACGCATTTTTGACTCTTGTTAAAAGCTGGAGTCCCTAACTTTCACAACACAATTTCTTTTAAATACTGCTAATATGTAATACAATCCATCTAGCCTGTGTGCTATTCCTTGTGGACCTGTCTTGCTAACATAGACTATTCTTTGATCATAAGCACAAGTTCACAGTGTCATCAAACTGGTGAGATGGTTTTGTCATTCAGCCAACTTCAGTTCCATCATGGGTAATTACAAAGCTCAGAACAGCCCGAATCCAGGCAAAACAGTTTACAATCTGAGTTTTCAGCCCCTGGACATGTCTGGTGAACTAAAGTGGCCCTCTCACTGAAAAGTTTGGACACCCCTGATTAGGGGTGTGGCGATACTTTCTCCCGCGATTCGATTATCGATATGCATTTGCCAAGTATCAATATCAATTTTGAAAAAAATAAAAATAATAATAGATTTTTTTTTTTTACAATAAAAAAAAAAATTGGTATCAATACTTAATATATGGCTACATTACGCATCTCCATTCCATTTATCATGAAATAAAGTGTAGTTTATCTTTTATTTATGCCATAAATTGGCATATTGTATATTTCTGACCAATATATTGAGAAACGTCATATCGTGATAATATCATTATCGTGAGCTTTGTATCGTGTATTGTATCGTATCGTGAGGTACCCTTAGGTTCCCACCCCTACCCCTGATCTAACTCGCTCATGGCTCTAAAGCAGTTTGGTTCTTTCACTAGTTTTTTGTCACATCTTTAGATCTGATTTCTCAGACAGAAAAGCGAATCAAGCTCTCAGTCCAAAGCGTCAAATAGTGACTCACAGGGCTCTTTCTCATATACCGTATTCAACAGAAAAAATGTGTCCTAATAAGGCAAAGACAGCCTGTTATGGTCTGATTCACAAAACTATACAGATTCTTCCAGCTGGGACAGAAAAGTATTATCTATGATGAAAAAAGCGAAGTACCCCAGCTTAAAAATAGTAATAATAATGATGATAATATATAACATTTTATTTGTATAGAACTTTTAAAAAACAATGTTCACAAAGTGCTGCACAGTCAGTATAATCAATAAAAAGAGCCAATAAAACAGACATAATAATGCAATGTCAAAATAATTATTAGTAGATAAAGGGGAAAAAAGCAGTAGATACAGGAAGACAAAACAAAGACCATACGGAACAATAAAACACAACATGTGAAGTTTAACCAGATTTAATCCAGCAGTTAAAAGCTATTCAGTAAAAGTGGGTTTTACAAAGTGATTTAAAAGAGGTTTCTTAATGTCCTCTTTCTGCACAGTACAAACATGGTAAATGCTGACGGTCACATGACATGCCCCTGACCTGCGGATGCTGCTCGTCGGGGGCCTGGTGCTTGCGTGGTTGGGAGCGGGAGCGAGTGGACCTCCTGAGCGCCTGTTCCGGGGACTCGCCGGGTTCAGAGTGCGCGGCCCTGCGGAGCGTCACGGCGCGGCGCGGACGGCTGCTGCTGCTCACCTCGGCCACGGACGAGTCGTCACGCGGCTCGGAGCTGCTGCCCTCACTGCCCGAGTGGAAAGTGAAGTCTTCATCGCCCTCATCACTGTCCTGCAGGATGAAGATCAAGACTTTTATTCATTGTGTTTGAATTGTTTAATTTTCTGATCTGTGTTGGCGAAATTAACAAATGTATAAAAGTTCTTCGAGATAACTACTGTTGTGATTTGGGGCCGTGCAAGAATAAATTGAATCAAATTAAATTTTTCACAATAAAAAAATAACAACTTTGGTCAAAATTATTATTATCTATCTATCATAATTATCTATCATCAATGCTATAGTGCTTATGCTATCATTAGCACCTTGACACTTTTTAATGCTTTTTAACTGTTTGAATGGATTTAATGTGATTTTATTGTAAAGCACTTGGGACGCCTTGAGTGTTGTAAAGAGCTCTAAATAAAATTGATTGATTGATATAAAAAAATAAAATTGTATTTATTAATGCATAATCAAAAGAATAAAGTGTTGTTTGTACATTATTCCCAGCAGTCTCCCTTCCAACTACTAAGGCTTGAATATGTTATTTTTGCATTTCCTGTGTTTGATCCATTACATTTACTGATCTGTGTTGACAAATCGACAACTTGTAAAGTCCTCTGAGATGGCTGCTGGTGCGATTTAGCGCTGTACAAAAATAAATTGAATTGAATTAATCAAGCACAAACTTGCTTTGCTTCTGAAATCGGACAGGACTGTTATTTGTGTTTGTTTAATAGACACAATGGATGCTCATGTCACAAATGACAATTATTCATTTGTTATAATATAAGTAACTCCCCAAGTCAGTTCTTATTTGGGCTTTTACTTTAACTATTACACAACATGGTTAAAAACCAAAGTAACAGATGAACAAAATCAATACAGATGGAAAATTAATCCTTTAATCCATGCATGAGGATTCCCACATTATTTACCTATTTATTTATTTTTACATATTTTGAAGTTATATATTTGATTAATTATTATTATTATTATTTTGAAGTTCCAGGGAATTTTCAGACTTTTTTTTTTTTTTTTTACTTCTAATGAGGTTTTCCGTAATAAATGTATTATTAATCCACAAGTAGTATTCTGGAGCTGGGCCACGCCTCCACCTCCTTCCCCTCCTCTGCAGCCAACCACACCTCGCCTTTTTTTCCATTCTTCATTTCCCGAGAAGATATACAACATTATATTCTTCGCTTTCCCACTTGATATGCGCTCTCCACCCCTTATGTCTCTCATCTGTCTTGGACAATAAAACACATCACTGAGGGAGTCCCTGAACGACTGAGAGACTGCATCTTTTTGATTGCATTCTTGAGAAGTATTTTTATTAGTTTGTTCTGTTTGGTGAATAACCAGCAGACGAAGGCTGTACAAACACAAGTGGATCCCAGAGCTATGACTCTGTTCAACGCAGCGCTTTCTGTAATCTGTTGTTATGATCACAACACTGTCATTAGCACCCACACTGTATTCCCAAGACACTGAGTGGAACTACCGTAGATATACACAGTGCCACAGAAGCGTGCGTTCTTTTAGTGAGCATTAGAAAAAGTAAATACAATTGGACATTTATCGTATGAATTATTAGAGGAAATTATTAATGAAACAGAAAGAATAATGACAAGGCACGTCAAGCATTTCTTATACTTTACATTTTTTGTAATCCCTTGTGTGATTTTAATGTTTTGATATTTTTAATTATCTGTGCGATTTACATTTTTTTATGATTTTTATTTCCTGTCTGATTTGAATGTTTTTAATTAATTGTGACTTATAATGTTTTTAATTACCTGGGATTTTCATGTATTTAAGTACGTGTGAATTTAATGTTTTTAATTACCTGCACTTTCAATGTTTTTAATTACCCGTGATATTAATGTTTTTAATGACTTGCTATTTTCATGTTTTTAATTAGCTGTGACTTTTAATTGTGTTTTAGATGGTGTTTTCGGGGTTTGTTTTATGTGACGATATGTGCCTTGTGTGATGTAGACTGTGAAGCGCTTTGTGTGGCCCTGTGTATGAAAAGTGCTCTACAAAGAAAGATTGATTGATTGAACAATTGTTTTAAATGTGGCAGTACATAAGCCTGATCCCAACCTGTGGGGAGCCTGCGTAGGTGTAGTCCACATTGGAGGAGCGGCGTTTCTTCTGCACAAAGAGAGATTTCCTCTTCTTTCTGCGTCGAGCTGGTTGGACCTGATCGCCCTCTGCATCCTCTCCTCCCACAGGTTTGGACAGTTTCCTTTTCTTCCCATAGTAATAAGCTGAGGACACACAGCAATGTCCACAATCTCACACCAAACACAACTCTTGCCTATTATAACCCATGACGTTAAAGCTTTCATTAGGGTTTCTTCATAATAGTGGCTTAGGAAAAGATGAGTTACACTCACTGAATTTGGTTTTAGTTTGTAGAGAGCAGTTCTCTGGGCACTTATCAGTCACAAGGAGCGGGCTGAAGAGGTTGGGACAACACTGCAGCTTCAGACACACTTTTCGACAATAGTCTGCGATTTGGTCTGCGATCCGAGCGATACGGATAGTCGAGCGGTAGGTTTTTCCTTTATATCTGAAAAAACATGAAAACATTGCCTGTCATTTATTTGACAATGAAATGAATGAATAAATTATGTGAAAAAGTCTATAAAAAGGAATTTAGACTAACATAACAGTATTTGCTGGACTATTAAGCACACTTGTTTAAACCGGAGAAGCCAAATTTGAAGAGAAAGTATACAATTTATAGGCCGCACTGGTTTTCAATGTTATTTGTCTCCCAGTGATATTACATTTATGGATATTGGTCATTCGCCCTTTACGGGACCAATGGCTTTATGTGTTTTTATCATTGCATTGCATTTGATTCTCTGATCTATGTTGGTAAATTTAACGGTTTTGTAAAGTCCTTTGAGAAAACTACTGTAGTAATTTAGGGCAATATAAAAATAAATTGCTGTTGGACACAAACATAAAAGACACTCTCTACATCAGCACAATTTTAACACAAGATAATGCCATAACATTGCACAGCCCCCTTAGTGCCAGGATAAAAATCAACATACTAGTAAAATATTGCAGTTAACAACGGTATATACACAATAAACAACAAGGTATATACATTGTCGCAAAGTGCTTTTTCAGTGCAGATGAAGATAGTACATTGCACATGGTCGTACAAAGTGCTTGTGCAGTTGGAAATCCAAAAAGTATTGCACACACCTGTTTACAGAAACAGGAGAGATGTCGTAATGCAACACTTAGCCAAAAGCTGATGTAGCAAAATGATAGACGACTGTTTTAACTGGCTGCAACATCACATTTAATGACATTTAATAACAAGGTGTTTTACTGTTGACTCATGATGATCAAAGCACTCTAGCCAATACTAAATATTTTTACAACAACATTCTTCCTAAAATTTAAAAATAATAAGTCCAAAAAATGTTCCCTAACACTTCCTTGTCTCTCTCTCTCTGCTGTTCACATAAACACAGGAGAAGCAGGAATGTGTGTCAAATCATAAGCTCTAGAGATCCACTGATAGAGCTGTGTCCAAATCCCTTCCTGCACCCCAGAGGGCGCTCTACAGGCTGCAGAGTTAAAAGAACAAGGAAAAAGTAGAGGCTTATAGTCCAGCAAGAACTGTCATTTAAGGGTGTATTCAGACCTGCACATTTGCTCCACTTTAAACGGACCAGGATTCGTTTGGAACTCTGATCCGAAGCTTTTATGCAGGTCTGAATACACACAAACGAACGGTCTGAATATATCCGGTGTCGATCCGACACAACTCCAAGATACGTGCGCATTTTTTGGGCTTAACAAGCCACAGACAGAAACTGAGGAATTAGCCATGCAGCGGCGAACTATGCTGCTAACTATGCTGCTAACTATGCTGCTAACTATGCTGCTAACGCTACACAACAACAATGAGCCGTGTGCAGACCTGGAGCAGTGAGGAGACGCTGTGCAACAGGCTTATGGAATTAAAACTGTTCACAGTATACATTAATGTTAATGGCAGCATCTTCAAGCCATTTGCATTAATAAAAGCCTGACACTGTTTGACTCACGTCTCAAAGAGCAATATTCGGCATCATGTAGTGAATTATGTTCTTTGGTTCCTACCTGATCCTCAGCGTCTGTTTGTCCCGTGGTTATTATAGATCAATGGTTTATCCACTATGCTGAACAGGGCCGTTATTATCATAGATCCATGTGTGGGACAGGGCACGGAGCGCACAGACAGTCTCCTTCGGCTTTCTCCTCACGCATTCTACGACGCTGTTCCAATATTTAAAACAACGTGTTTGGCCTGTGTCATATGAGCTGCTGTTGATGTTGAAGGTGGTTTTGCTCTGAAAGGAGCAAACATAGGCAGAGCAGACATGCTGCACATACGAGCCCTCTGTTTTCCTCTGGTTCCGCGTCTATCCTCCGTGAGCTCTCGCTGTCCAATAGGAGCGCCGATCGCCACACGTGTCAATATGTTTATATAAAAAAGTTCACTTGCAAAAAGGACAGTCTGAATATGAACCGGAGCAAAAGAAAAAAAGTTTGGTTCGCTTTTGATTCGGATCAAGCAAGCGGAGCAAAGGACTTTTCAGGTCTGAATACACCCTTAGATTAAGATGTAGAAAATAACGACAAACCATTTTGATTGCTAAAGTGATTCAGAATCACTATAGCAATCAGAAATCCCCCTGTTCTATTAACAGACTTGAGAAATAGTGGGAGTAAACATCTTGCATCTTGGTCATCTCAATAAAAGAGAGAAAAAGACAAGAAAAAATCCTAAAATGATTCACATCTTTTTTCTGAATGTGTGCTTCAAACTCACTTGGCTTTGAGAGTCTCCTCCTGACAGTCCCAGCTGTGAGTCTCCATCTCCTGCAGCTCCTTCAGGACTCGCCCAGGCTTGTAGGCCGCGTTGATCAGCATAGTCAGCAGCTGAAGCCCACAAACGCACCGCACATTAAGAACACACTGTACCCTAACAGAGCATTTAAGATCACAGCAAAAAGGACAAGGATCAAATTCATATCCACTTTTACAATCATGCAAAACAGCATGTCCACACCATACACATAAGGCCTGCTGGGATGAATTTTCTGGATGTTCTGCTAACAATGGTCCCTCTCTATGACCAATGAAGTGTGGCATGAGGGGGACATCACAGGAGATTTTAATGGGGTGCCTCTCTGACAACACTGAGGGCCTGAGTCTGTCTGTCTGTCTGTCTCCCTCTCTGCCCATCTCTGTCTCTCTGGCTGCCTGTCTCTGTCTGTTGTATGTAATGTAATGTAATCTTTATTTATATACCGCCTTTTCACTGCACATCGGAGTCTCAAAGCGGTTTACAATTGTTATTTTTTAGGAGTGGGGTCGCCAGAACAGGCGAGAACTGTTCGTCTCTCTATCTGTTTCTGTCTGTCTGTCTGTACATCTGTCTGTCCATCTCTCTGTCTGTGTCTGTCTGTTTGTCTGTCTCTCTCTCTTGTGTGCATGTATACTTTATTATCTGTTGGCTCTGTACGTGTCTTGTAACCGCTTTGTCTCATAAAATGTCCACTTTTATATCCATTTGTTTTATGCATAATATATTAAAGAACAACTAGATTTCTGTTATGGTTGCATTTAAGGATTGATTAAGAATACAGAGGGTTGCTTCTCACATTAGGATGAAGACAATTCAAAGAAACGGCAGGTGGGCACTTTAGATAAGCTCACCTCTTTAAGAACAAGTGCGCATTTGCCAGGCCCCACCGCCTGCGGCAGTTCGGCGATACGGCCTTTGTTGAGGTATGGCCCTGAGAAACAGCGATGGTTTACAAAAATCTTTGAGCAGGAGTATCTTCCATTTGCTGCACCTGCGAACAGTAAATCACTGTTGTGAGCTTCGCACAGGGTAAAATACAGTGTGAACCTTGGACAGGGTTTTCAATGAATGAATGACTTTTTGTACGTCAACAAGGTTATAACACAAAATCACAACTGCACAACGGTCATATGCAGTACCAGCGCCCGGGACTTCTTGCCCCCCCTCACTAGTTTCAGCACCTGGACCCACCAAGTGCCGGGTGAATAGCAATGACCTGGAGTCATGAATATTCTCCATAGAGTGGGAGGTTGTTAAATATGAAACTTGGAGAAGAGGATATAAGTCTCCAGGAAACAACACTGATCTCATCTTCTATTGTTACACATGCGGTAAAAAGACAAGGATGTAATCTTCAACTGAGCAGTGGTTAAATATTACTGTTGCAAATCCAAAGAAAGACATCTGCAACGCAAGCTGTAACACCTGACTTTCAACCCACTAACAATGGAACTGTGTAATAAAAAAATGTGTCTCACTCTCAAAACTTGTATTCGCTTACAAATGTGAATGAATACAAGTGATGCTGATCTAAATATGTGACAAAGTACAGACAGAAAAGTTCAAATAACACTCAGCCAATCAGCTCTTAGCCCATACTCAACCAATACAACATGTGCTATTTGCAAACAAAAAAGTGAGTAGATTCCCAGCTTTAATATTGTATATTATGGTGGGGCTAATCAACAATATCACATGTTTTTATAGAACACATGAACATAATTACCTGGATCGACTGCAACAGACTGACAGTGGTTGACCGGAGCTGCTGGTGCGAAAGGAACCAACCTGAGAAAAGAAATGCCACTGTAAAGATTAATATGTTTTGTTTTTAGATCTAAAGTAAAAGTTAAATGCAGTTTTTTTTATTTTTCTTGTATTTTTTTTAAATTCTTCTATCCTTGTGGTGGTTTCCGTGTTCCAAAAAGAGTAGATCTTGAAAAAGAAAATCTTGATGCAAATGCAAAAGGACTGATTTAAAAAAGCAGGACAGCACTGCACTCAATCTTATTTTTTGCATTGTTTTTTGGCCATTATAGCCTTCATCAAATCATATTGTCCTTCTTTTTCCTTTGGACCAGAATACACTTAAATGCTCCATAACCATTTCCCCATTTTGAAACCAATTCAAAGTCTGAGGTTTTGATCATTACTATAAACAGTATAATCATCTCTGTCCTTGTGTGATAGTGGTCAATGCGTTTTGTTTGTTCTAGCTTACTGTTTTTCAGGCTGGACCACTGCTATCTTCTTCTGTTTGGACGCTGCAGAACAAACATGTGAGTGTTGTCAATACTTTGCAATGGTGAGGAAGTGATCGCTGAATGTGCAGATACGTACAGACAGGTTTGAGAGGAGCAGTCAGAGTGTAAGCATTGGCCTCACACCAGCCCACAGGGAAGATGTCCATAGACTCGCTGTCCACGATGCACTCTGACAGGGGCTGGGCCACACCTGAGGCGACCAGAGAGGGCTGTCACGCTAACTGCTACAAGCTTTTCCTGCTGGTTTTTGCTCATCTCACCACAGACATTGGATGAATGTGAGTGTACCTTGCAATCGGAGCCACAGCAGGCGACCGGCCACTTGTGTGATTTGGGCCACACACACCTCTGACGGCTGGGAAGGGTTCACTGCCTCCAGCCACATGTCCTTGGCAAAGCCCCGCGTCTGCCACGTCTGTGCACAATTCAAATATGTGAATTATATGAATTATGTGTCCAATGTGCATGAGCATTTTGATTCCAGTTGGAGTTTGGCACTACACTTTGCTACATATGACTGAAGAAAAAACATCAGGTTTCTATGAGCCAGATCACTTGCTAGTATATTTTTCCCACTCACTCAGAGCTTAAAGCGGCTGAGCATAAGGGCGATGAGTGGGGAGCTGCATTCAATAGAGGAACACTGCATCACCATGACAATATCATAAAAATAGGTTTGTTGTCAAAGAGATGAGATTATAGTTACAGTTGTATCATCATGCTGCCCATAAGATATAAGGTATGGTATACATTATTGTCCCACTATTTGTCCTTTGTGTTTAACCCATACCGGCCCACAAGGCCAACCTGTCAGGAGCAGTATTTCAGTAACTATTTAAGAATGAAGGTCAACCAAAGATGTCTAGCGTGAATAAGCACGAAACTGGGTGTTTTACATCAGGGAAGCATGTGTCTGGTGCAGCCTCGGTGCCGCTCTCCTTGAGATAGTCGGCCCAGTCAAAGTCCTGCCCCTCACTGCCCCGCGGCCGTTCCAGACTAATCCCGTTCTTCAGACACCACTGGATGGGTAAGATGCCTGGTGAGTTCACGTGACACACCACCGACCACTTGGCGTCAGTGGAAAGATCATCCACAGTCACTTGGAAGTAGTACTCATTGTAGACCTGAAAAACAATCCGGGGATAACATTTCTCTGAACCTCTGACATGTCTCTATATTTATACAGCGCATTTCACAGACCAACGTCACACAAAGCGCTTATGTGAAGACTCACCTTTGTGACAGAAACAGGGCAAATCTGCATCCGATCCCACCAAGGAACCATCTCCAGCTTCATTCCCACTGTGAAGGAGTGCTTGGGCAGCTCTACATGGTCCTAGCAAAATAAAGTCAAGTTTTACATATAAATAAGCTCGAATATCCCAAGACATACTGAATTTAACATATTTTTATGCTTATGTTACACATTCTGCTTGGAGTAAAGTTCCCTTTGGGATAAACAAAAGTGCACACACACATAAACAACTAAAGTAACACTTGATTTACACTGTGGAAAAGATATATACAAAATAATGATTCATGTAAAAACATGGGGGTCTGGTCTGAGTTCTGGTTAAAAGATTAAAACTCCCTTTAGTCATAAATGTCCTAATGTTTTTAAGGCTGTGCACAGACCAGTACATGATTGTTCGATTAGTTGACAATCAATGAATCCCATTTAAATGATTGACTCACTGCCCTAGTTCTCAATATGAAGCAACATTACAGAAAAAGGTCAAATATTGTGCTATTTGATATTTACTGTTTAATTGAATTTCGAAGTTAGTATATGTATAAAGATATTTGTTTTTTGATCCAAACCATTAAAGTGCAGTATCACTGCAACGACTACAACAAGAGACAAATTGGAATTTCTTTATAATATCAGTATAAACATTGATATTTTCACCACCAGTTTATGACACATTGAACTGTTACGTATTGCATGCTCCATTTGCTGCGGCTCTGTACAAACAGGTCGATCTGGATTTTAGCTGGAGTTAATATGGAAGCATCATCTCCAGATCAGAAAAAAGGGGGACCGGAGTTTAGCCACATCAACTCTGGGTAGAAGTGCATATTTACAAATGGCTTTTTAACTCGAACACACGGTATCACTGGGCAAGACGTGAAATCCTATTCCTCTAATCAAATCTAAATTGATTTAAAAAGAAAACCACTGTTAAAAGTGAGGAAAATTTGGCAAAATGTATGTGATGTCTTAAAACAAGATATGCCAATGGGAAAGAAAAAATATCCTGTTTTTAAAAGATTCAAGAAATGTCTTAGATCTAGAAAAAATAGAGCAGTCCTTGAAATAAGACTAAATGGCTTTGACTCCATTTTTTTTTTTTTTATGCAGTGCAATTTACATAAAAATGCAAAAAGACCTTTAAGGGCTTACTAGTTTTTTGGAAATGATTTATATTGGACAAAAGTCAAAAACATACTATATTTTTACACGGTGTATGTAAACATCTGGTGTCCCCTGTACATTTATTACACATTTATTCACCGATATCGTTAGGATGTGTGGAATTTTACCTTAAATACTTCCAAGGGCAGTGGGTTCTTCTGTCCTTCACCTTGAGCTTCTTCTAACGCCTGCTGCCAGTCTGCGGCGCTCTGCAGACCCCTGAGCTCTGCAATGGAATCACACGAGTGGAACCAGACTCAGAGATAAAACAACAATCCAAGCCAGATTTAGACCGAGAAAATGTCACCTGTTGGAGGCTCGAGTTTGTGGGAGTTTTCTGTGGCCCATCCCGGTGGTCGCAGCCGCACATTCAAGTAGAAAAGCCAAAAGTCCCGCGGCAGATGCTCCTCGGTTAAACCAGCGTAACGTAAACGAAGCCGCCCCCCGACGTTCTGGATGACTCGAGCGGGCCAGTAGAGGAAAGGGTCACATGTGTCCTGAACTTCTAACACGGATCCCTCCACAATCAGGTCCATGGTGTTTTTACCCCTGAGAGGCTACAGGGGAAAAAATATGTTATTCAGATTCAGATTCATTTATTTGCCATTTGCAATAAAACCCCATTGGAATACATTAGCAAAAGTCCCCAGTGTGCACAAGACAAGTACATAAATAAAACAAGGTTAAAAGTACAGAAAAACCCCCAAAACAGTAATAGGGGTCCCTCGTTTATTGCGGGGGTTACGTTCTAAAAAACCTACACGCTATAAGCAAAATCTGCAAAGTAGTAGCTGTATGTTGTAAGGCGGTAAAACCACCCTCACCACACACTTCATGCTCTTTTCTAACCACCTGAACTCTCGAGGGCTGAAGTGCGATTGCGGAGATATCAAACCTGTTCGTTTTTAGGTCTGAGCGTTGCTGCAGCTGTAAAAAGCCGTGCACACACTGTAAACTACAACAGTGCTGAGAGGCAGAAGCAGGACTGAGGTCTACGGGAAGACTGCGGTATAGTCCTCTGAACTAATCATGGCGGTGCACAGAAGTTACAAAGGTTTTCTGACTTGAAATAAAAATAAGTGTCATGCCTTGGCTATAAATATTGTAGTGTTTCACATATTGATTGTGTACACTTGTCCCTAACAAATAAAAAAATAAAAAATAATAATAATAATAAAAATATAAATAAATAATAATAATACAACAATAAAATTAAATAAATGATGATAATAATAATAAAATGCTGTTGAGGTGAAAGAAGCTTGCTTGAAAAATTGCACACACAAAAATAAGCAAAACAGCGTTAGGTAAATTGCAATATACAGTAAAGCAGCACTGTAGTTGATATGCAGTCTTGTAAAGATAATAAAGTAAAACAAATGTGGGAACACTAAAATATTCTATAGTACAAATTTCTGTAAAACATATGCATAGTTGGGTTTGGATACTAACCCCCTCCAGCAGGTTTGCTGGTGCTGTCCTGGAGCCTGTTAAATCCTGGATGAGAAACTCTCCCCAGTCACATTGTTTTTCTTTAACGCCTGAAACAGGAAGAAGAGCACTGTGAGTAAGATAATGTAGATACAAGATGATTACTTGTCCTCTAGTCGGACAACTGAAACACTCAAAACATCCATAATTCAGACGATTTGTTTGTTATATAGTTACCTGTGCAAATTAAGAACACATTGCCTCTTTGGACCTGCCCACAGCCCGAGTAAAATCTACTAAATGACATCTGGAGCTGTATTATAGACCAACTGAAGTTAAAATGTCTTTGAGTTTCCTTAAGTTTGTGTTGTGCTGTTTTTTGGCCTATAGACATGTGTGTGTGTCTTCATACGTTTGTGATTTTTACAAAATTGGTGACACAAAAAAGTTGAGTTCATAATTTACAGTACTTGCTGGACTAGAAGACACTACGTTTTTTTAAGCCTGAGATTTATGCATGTATTCGTTTCTTTAGAGCTCCCAGCACCTGCTTTTTTATGAGATTAGGGCAACTGTCAGAGCAGAGCTTATGGACAATTCTTATTTTAACTCCACCAAGTTTTTCTTTGAGTTCGTTGATAATCACGAGTCAACAGTACGTTAAAACATCTTGTTATTAAATCATGTCGTGTCCAGGTAATTAAAACAGTCATCTATCGTCTTTATTTTGCTTTATTAGCTGTTGGTTAAGTGCTACATTACAACAAGAAACAAGGCTGAGAGGCATTGGATTAATAAGTTTTTGCTTCATTCACTCCCTTTTCAAATCATGTACAGGTATTTTTCTGTTTTTAGCAATTTATTAGCATAATTTATTTTAGAACTGTAACTGTATCTTGTGCATGTTTGAAACAAAACAAATATTAAACCTTATGCGGCCTATGTTCTGTCTTTCACCTGCAGGTATGGGCACAATGTATGTATTTTATATGGTAAAATGCAAGAATTCATGAAGAGTAAGTGAGTAAGTAAGTAATGTTTATTTATATAGCGCAATAAGAAAGCACTGCATCCTCAAACATTATTAAATCATGTCTGAAAGAAGCACAAGGAAGTAAATGAATAATTATGTAACTCCGCCCCCTCTTCTACCTTTCAGTTTAACCCATTACAACGTTTCCTGATAAACCGTTCATCATTTTCCAAACAAGATCAACAACAATGCTGGTCTTACATCACAATTCTCCTGCCTGAGAACACACAATCAGGAAGCACTAAAAAGTTCCGAGTTAACCACAAAATTGCTCATGATTGTTATTTAATCTTCCCAGTGCTGATAACACAACAACCAAAGGCAACATACAAGTCTTATCTGCAAAATACTCCAGTCTATTCTGAGAGAAAGGTGCTGAGTGGCTTTTACTGCAGCTTTTCTCTGTAAGTCAGCACTTCACAAAGAAACCTCTCCCATGTAACCGCACACACAAACGCACACACAACCGCACACATGCAAAAATACTTGTTGAAACACCACAACCTTGAGACTAATGTTCACTAAAGCAAGACGAGCGTGAAGCCTGATACCTTTTTACCACTGTATAAGGCAGAGCTATGGGGGAAACATTTCTCAGTTATATGATGTGATTGTTCATTCTGAAACACTAGATCACTAACATTTATGAACATTTATTGGTCATCTGCCCCTTAAGGACCAATGTCTTTATGTGTTTTTATTGTTGCATTTCTTGTGTTTGTATGGTTTGATTCTCTGATCTGTGTTGGCGAATCCAAAGGTCTTGTTAAGTCCTCCGAGATACCTACTGTGGTAATTTAGGGTTACACATGAATAAATTGAATTGACATTGAAAAGCTCTGAAACTACTTTGCAATTTTGACTGCTCCCATTCAAATCCATGAAATTCCCAAAAAATCCCCAAAAAATGTAGTTTAATAAAAAAATTCTAAAACTGTTTATTATATGAATAATTGAAATACAGCAAAACGATTAGATGAAAAGCTACCAAATGCTAATTGCTGTAAAGTAAACAGTGTATTGATGTTGCCAGGTGACCAAAAATACTACATTTTTGGGCTTCATAATTGAATGTTATTTTCAATTGAAATGACTGGTCTGAAAAGTTAAAGCTGCACTAACTGACTTTGTGATTTCGAAGCAGCGGTTTCAAAAGTAAGCGCTGGCCTCGCTCTTTCTCCTCCGCTCCACGCACCCACGAAGCTATCGCCCCCCACTACCCCACACCCACTGTTGTTTACGGAGCAAGCGTCTCACAATATGGATTGCACATTTGATCGTGGATGGCGTGACCCTAGAATGATAGAACCGGGAAGCGCGGAGAGGACGAGACTTTCTTTTGAATGGCTGTTTCGCTGTGTAAGCAGTAACCGGTAACGAAGACACGGCAAGTTTCAGGTTAGCCTCTGCCGCTTGTTTACCTCAGCTGTCTGTGCTAACGAGAGACCTGTAGATTTCTCAAGAAAGTGGGGGCCAGTGGTCTGCTGTGATTAGTCACAATTTGGTCCCAAAACAAATTATCTTCAAAAACTGGATCTAAAATAAAACAACAGTCCAGCACAAACCAGTGCTACTTATTCTTCAAAAGAACATATATCCAATGCACTGCATGGATATGGATTGAATTTTCCAAATAAATAAAAAAATAAAGTGAGGTAATACAGCATTAAAGAATGAACTACTCACAGTTTAAAAGTAAAAGATAATTTCATAAAAAACATTACATTAAATAAATTACAAATGGTTACAGAAAAGATTACAACGTTAGGAAGAGCAACAATATACAGAAGTTGAGTGATCATATAGCTCATTGATATTTATAAATATTTAAAGGAAAAAAAGACTACCGGTATTTAACTATTTCCAAATAAGAGTATGAAAAGTGCCATTTCATCATGCTTCCAAAACTAAAAGCCATCAAATTGACAGGTCTTGTATTAAGCAATGGGGCTGGGTCAGAATATTGCAAATTACCATGAGCTCTGAGCTGGACGTGCGTCATCGAGTGCCATGATAAGAACTGGCCGAACAGTGCAGACAGTGAGGAAGCTTTTAGGATAAGAAGCAAAATCTTTTCCTCTCTTTTTATATAGAACACAACCCACAGTGTAAGGTGTGTAAAGCTTTAGGTATATACCGTACTTCGCCTCATAGCAGACCACAGTACAAAGATTTACAGAGGAAAGTACATTTGTTATGTGAAGCATGTTCATTTTGAGCTGGGGCTGATTTTTATGTTGGAGGTAGATGTTTAAACCATGAGTCATAAACATGTTGCAAAGCTTTTTACGCAGCTGGTCCACCTCGACTGAATTCCACGGATTCTAAAAATGAGGAATAACTTGTCTTTATTGGTGGAACAAAAATTTGACATTGGTGGAATCTCGGCCGATTACAGATGTGTCGCGTGACTTAAAAAACATCAGGAGCCGGTCAAGCCGCTCCTGACTGTCAGATGAGTCCAGTCTTAACTTAGAGAAATGGGTGGAGTCTGGTATGCTCCTGCTGGTTGGAACTAAACTCTTTCTGGAACCAGTTGGACACCTCTGAGCTTGAGGCTATAATCTTGGGTATCTGGATCCAGCCTGGGTCTTGCAAAGTATTTCCCATAAAGCAGTGTTCCCCAATCTTTTTGAGCCGTGGCACACCTTGACCACCAGCTGGAAAAATAATTATCAATGCATTTGGATTACAGATGTGTCATTATCATCAAAGAGCATAGAATAACCAAACATGCACAGAGGATAAAAAACTATTGGCTATCTTCTCACATTCTTTTTTTCCCCAATGTTTTTCTCTTTTTTTTACCATTTAAGTAATACTGGATAATTTCCAAAGGCACACCAGACAAAATCTGCCCATGGCACGCTGGTTGAAAAACACTGCCATAAAGCACACTCTTAGCACATGTGTCATGTTTTTGTCCATTCGCATTAGCTCACATACTTCATCAGAAATAGATTAGACTAATTTTAGAGATCCTACTCTCAGATCAGTCGTGAAGTTGTTACAAAATATATCAAATACATGGCTACAACATTAACCTCTACTTTCTCCTCTTTATTGATTCTCACTTTCTCTGCTGTTGAATATACACTCATAAATATATATAAAAGGCATTTGTGTATATTTGCTCTTCTTCCATTGCTGGGAGCAGATGACACGGCCCTGAATGGCTTGACTTTCACATAACAATGAATGCATAATTAACCTTGGAGACCACGTTTTGAAAAACAAAACCCCCATCCTTTTTGAATGCAGATTGTAAGCATTCTGAGAGCCACGGGAACCTCATACTCATACTTATGTGTACTTACTAACCTAGTATCCAATTCACTTTGTTTATATAGCACATTTTATAAAACTGGTTTCCAAAAGTGATGCACGGAGGAAAAAGTAACGCATTTAAAAATACAGATCTGAAAAACAGAAGCTGAATACAACAGTAAAATCAAATGAAAAAAAAGAAGAAAAAAAATGATATATACAAACATAAACACGTAAAAAAAAGTCCACGCAACTCACACAGGGTTGAAAAGCAAAACAATATCATACCAGACTTATCAATGAGTGGAACCAGAATAGGGAGTTCAATAAAGTACTGAAACCAGAGTCGAATAAATCCACATTCCTCATCGAGACCGCTATGACAACCAAGCGTCAGCAGCACATGTCGTCATGAGCAGCTCCAACAGGAAGCAGAGGGCTGAATTTCTTATGCAAATGATCTCTGCAGCCAGCACCACACAATCAGACCAGTGATCAGGCCAACAAAAAAATGAATTTAAGCATTGAAGCACCCAGTTCTGGACCATTTATGAAAAGATATCCATATAGCCCATTGATATTTATACTAAAGGGAAAAAAGACAACCGGTATTTAACAAGTTCCAAATAAGGGTGTGAAAGGTGCCGTTTCATTGTCTATTAAAACCCAGGTTTCAACACATTTTTTACAGTGTTGTGTCTAAATAATGTAAGCAGGACATGTGATTTTAACAGTAATGTACCTTTTTAGGCAATTTTTAGGCAAAGTGCTCATTTGGTAGAGATGTGAGACTATCCAATGTCACACAGT